TAGACAATTGCTCTACACTCACATTAAGCTTCTTCACCTCTAACTATATCGTACTTATTTCAAAAGTAGCTAAAGATAACGGATTCTTTAGCAATTTTGAGGACTTGCATATCATTATATCACATTAATTAAATTTAATGATCATTTGTCCATTTAATATATATGTTTGCTAGATGACATTATGCTAAGCAAGGAGTGGATAATTAGGCACTGAGTTGACTAATATAATGAAGCAGCCAAATATTGATGTTGTATTTCTAGAGCCTCATAATAGGACTTCATTTGATGTGGTAATGTTAAGCTTGAGGAAGGCAATTTAGATCAATCTTACTTATCCAATTCTATAGTTCTTTCTAGTTATGAAGTTTTAGATGGCCTTATTGAGTGGTGCTATCCTAAACAACTCCAATTGGTTCTAGCTTGTCTCCAACCTCATTTCTTATCACAATGAAGTTTCTTTTCTTGCTCTTTAATTCAAAGCTATAAATTTCCAATGATTGTAGATCTTTGACATTCAATTTTTTTCAAAATAGCTTTACATAATATTGATGAAATCTATAAGAATTAATTAAATCTAAAGTTTTTTAATTTAAACTTTTCTAGTATGTTCAAATCATTGCAATGCAATCTATTTATCTAAAGTATTGGTAGCAATATTTACATCTAGACATTTTTGAATATCAAATATATAAATCCTTGAAAATATATGAAAAATAAGCAATGTTAGAATTTGAGGAACATGCTTACTTATCTTACTTCAAAATCTTTAGTTTGTGGCAATATTTACTAGAGGAAGCTATGCAAGTTTGTAAAAGGATTCAAAATATGCAAATAAGCATAATAAACTTTGAATCATCACTCTATTTCTCTTAAGAAAATAATACTAAAATTGATAAGTTTTAAATCCGTTGATAAAAAACTAAAAAAACCAACATTCAATCATACAAATTCTAAACAACCAAAATCTTTATTCTATTTAGAAAATATAACAAAAGCTTCTTACAAACATCAAAGCCTAATATGCAAACCACAAATTTACTTGTATCTATGTATAGATTGTGTGATCTTTTTTATACTCATCCAAAATTGATAAGCTTTAAAATTACCAATTGAAAATTAAAGCAATCAACATCTAATTTCAAAAATGGAAAATTTTAATTCTTTAATACTACATGCCAAGGCTTGCAACTATACATATAATCACCTTTATAAGACCATAGTTTGTTCAGTAAAGGTTAAGAAACTAATTCTTGTTATTTACTGAAAAAATAGATGTTCTTATCAATTTTATTTTTAGTCAGAAAATTTATAATCAAATCTAATAGCAGTATATTGACATGATTTATTAAATAATCTATAATAATTTTTATTTCTAAAAGAAAAATAGTATTGACATAGCACAATTTTCAACTCTTACTTTTGATGCTGCCAAAAAAATAATAAATCAGCTCACATACACTCTTGTAAGTATATTTATGGATTTGAAGCAATTCAAAAATAATTAATAAATTTTTAGTGATCTAGGCACTTTGCTTGATTTTTTATTGATAAAAATTTGAGTTAATTCTACATTTTTGTTTTACTTTTGATAAAATTGATAAGGCATGCAACTAATTAGAGAGTATTTGATAAAAACCAAGAGAGATGCATGTGGTGAATGAAAGCCACTACTTTTCTCTTTAAGCAATCTTAATATATAGGTTCACTTATAATTTTCACACACATCTACCATATTTTATTCTTAATAGATCATCTTATTAATTAATAAGTTAATTATTTAGTTGGTTTATTTGTTTGTTTTTATTTTCTTATTATCTTTAGATTATACTTTCTTCTTTTATTACATGGCTTATTTGTATATAATTTTTTGGTTTTTTTAAATATGTTATTAAAAAATTATATTTTAATTTTTAAAATTATATTATAGTTTTTATTTATTTAATAGACTATTTTGAATAAAGTTTAATTTTCTTAAAAATATATTTTTTTTAATATTTAATTTGATAGATTTATTAGATATAATCATTTTATTTATATTTATTTTTTAAAAATCTTAAATATATTTAAAATTATATTCTTTAATATTTTATTAGATTATTTATTTCTATTTAAATTATATTTTAAAATTTTACTATATATATATATATATTACTTTAAAAAAAATAAAAAATAAATTTTATTTATAAAGTAAAAAGTAAAAAATTTAAATCTGTAATATTCTAAAACTATTAATAGTATTAAATAAATATGATTTAATTTTTAAAAAAATACTTTAAGTTTAAAATGATTTTTTTACTTTAAATTATTATTATTATTATTATTATTATTATTATTATTATTATTATCTTAAAATTCTAAATCTATGATTTTAAAAATTAGTTATTTATAATTATCTTTTGTTTTTCTAAAGTTTTATTTGATTACTTATTATACTCTAAATCTTATCAATTTTTTTGCATCCAAAACTTGTTCCATTACCTAGGGATGTTAGCTTTAATATTGAGGTGTTATTTTAATTTCTTATAATTACCTAATAAATTTAATTATATTCAATTAAATTTTATTAAATTATGGTTCTAATGTGGAGATCACTCAATACTTTCTTATCATACATATATTTATTTCTTTTAATCTATATGGTCTATAAATAAAGTCCTTTCAATAGAGACCAAATTTACAAACTTATTTAAAATAATATGATATCTATTTAGCAAATATGGCTTATTTTTATGTGAAGGCTTTTGAAGGTTTATATTTCTAAAGATTAATCGATAATTTATATAAGATGGAAGTGGATCAATTCCAAATTTTATGTACTTGGTTACGTTGTCAAAATCAATACAAGATGGTTTTGGACATTTGGAAAGCAAATAGCACAATGTATGTCAATATACAAGCTAACTTGTCCTCTTTATGTGTTATTTGCTATTTTTTATGCTATGTGAGTCAAATGAATATAGCTTTTTATACAAACACAAGGATGAGACTAAATGTCATTCTATTTCAAAAAAAAGTAATTATTAAGTAGAATGTTTGATTTTTTTTTATTATAATATTACAAGACAGAAAGTTTTTTTACATTAATTTTTATACAAGCTTGACAAAGTAGGTTACTAAATCTCTTCTCGTAGCCAAAGAATATGATTTAGGATAAAAATTAAATTTAACTTCCACACCATAGAAAAAATTAAGTCTATTAGTTCCTTTCTTTATAAGACTTGTTTTAAGAGCCGCTCTAACAATTTAAAAAATAATTCTCAATTTGATTCTCTTTATCTATTGTGGATTGATTTTCTTGATTAGCTAATATTATTAATGCCAATATTAGAAATATTTAATCTTTGTAAATTAAAGAAAAAGAAACCTTTTATCTTCCTCTATTCTTTTATATTATATAAGAAGTTGGATAACAACAAAAGGTAGTTAATTTCTTTCTAAAGTATATAATCTAATCTAGCCTTTGGCTTTAGATAGAGCCTTATTATATTGAAATAAGATCTTCTATAATCTAAATAAATAAAAATATAAAAAAAAATACATATATATCAAATATTATCACGGATTTGATATAAAGCTTAAATGACTCAATGTACTTTGCCATCTTTATTGCCCTAGCTTTAAAAATACTATATATATATATATATATATATTAATTATATCAAATCAAAACTAATATTCTTTACTTCATTCTATATTGATATAGATAATCTTGGATTATAACTACATAGTACAACCTAAGTGACATTTGCAAGTCTTATAGAATTAGCTCAAAGTCCAAAGTTTAGACTTTCTACTTTGCCATTGGTCATTGATAAAAATCTAAGTCATCAATGCTAAATAAAAGATAAATATTATCATTTATTTATAATAAATATATTTATGATTATTATATAATAATTTATTAAATTTATATTTAAAATTTTGCTTCTTCTTTAGCAACATATAATAGGATCAAGAACATATTTAAAGAATCTTGCATAATCTTGAATATGATTGTAATGACAACAAGTGTATTCTTTTAATATATATTTCACTATTTTAAGTTAAAGAATTATAAGTGTGTATGGATTTTTTAGGCATATGAGAATGAATCCTACACTAAACATTACAAAGAATATATTTTAAAAATCAATGTTCATCTAATTTTATTGATATATAATACAAGTAATGTCCACCACAATTTTTGTAATTGCCAGCACAATTTGCCATCTATTCAACATAATTCTTTAGTTTTTTGTATTCCAATAAAATAAAATTATTAATATTTATAATATATATTTTTTCAAATTATATAGAAAAAAATATGAATAAAAAATAAAAAAGTTGTAGTGGTAATAGCAAAAACCATGGTGGTATTAGCAACATCCTATAATATTCATCCACAAATTAAATTTGGAGATTTATTTGTAAAATCGCATCAGTAGAACCATACAAAGGACACTAACCCACATTGTAGGATAAAATGGGCAGTAGATTGGTATATCATGCAAAGACTTACCACCTGTTCAAAAAGTGGAATTTTACCCAGTTTTTTATTGTCTGTACTTAAGCAGGTTTAGAATGATGCCTGTCACTGAATGATGGGTGATGTGGTTTTACGGTGTTATTGTTTGATTTGTTTTGTTTTTTTCCATTCTCTGAATAGTTTCTAGTTTTTACTTGGATTTGAACAGCAGCAGTATCAGAAAGACTACAAAGTGTTGAAAACATTAGAATCTCAAATTAGATGGAAGAAAGATGCAGCCCTTAAAGTTTCAGAGATTAGATCCGTTGCGGCCCGTTCAGTGAGTATTTTTTGAGCTCGTTGGCGCTTACTCTCAGGATTCGTAGAATAGATACTTCATGGAACGACGAGGACATGCAGTGAGGTTTCTACACAACTTGGAGCAAAGCATCATGTAGTAGCAAGAGTAGACTCATAATGGAAGTGAAATAAGCTTGGAATATATACTTAGAAGAAATAGGACTTTGACATGTACATCTGTGCTTACATGCAAACATTTAGAAACACAATATTTACATTAGTTTACATTTACAGAATTACAGGATTACAGATGTTCCTAAGTAACATTCATTATTGTTTATAAACAATACTTAAAACCACATCCTCAACTGAGGTCCGGAATAAAAGGACAAGGTAAACTGGACTTCCGACTTTGTAACCCGTCAATACTTTACAACCTCCTGCAGCTTCAAGAATTTATCCGAACCCAAACCAAGAAAGCATCAAAAGCACAGCATTTGAGAAGCAAATGTTCTATTAAACGCAGGATCAGATCGACGATTCGCAAGTGATCACTAATCAGAAGACCTGAATAGCTCTACCTCTTCTCAAAAAGGTTTCGCTAGAGACAAACAGCGAGGAGTACAAGGATAAATGTAAGAGTACAACTACAACAGGGGTTGTCCACATAGCCTTAAGCAAAGGCCTGTACAAAGGTGATCTAGCATGCAGAAATCTAGACACGCACGGAAGACGTTGGATAGACAGACAATATACAATTTCAACCTCTAAATTTTCTCCAACTACATTGAGAAAATGACCACGATTTCTCACAGAAAGCATTCAAGTTGGACTCTACAAATTTTTGTATTTAGCAGATAAAGTATGAAGCTTGGACTAACCCGGGCTTCAGGGGAACCTAGAACTAGGAATGGTACAACTGAACGTGTCTCTCGAGACTCGAATGCCACCTACATAGATAAGGTGGCAGGACCCGCCAATTGTAACACAATAGGTAACAGAGACCTTGACATGTTCGACGATGATTGGTAGCCTACCGTATTACCCAGAGCAACGGTATGCAGGCTAACTGAGGTTCTCGGTCGCAGACATTTCTGAGGAGTACCAGATAAATATCTATCTCCAAGGAACAAAATAAATCTCAGTGAAGTGCGACGTGACCCCCCTCCGGCTTGACCTAACCTTGAAAGGGTTTGTATTTTTTCAGATCACTGATCATACATTCGCTTGATCCCAATGCTGCTGCTAAGGAAACAGCAAAACAGGAAACCGAGAGAAGGTGTAACCAGCACCATTTTGGGCTCCACCTTTGGACCTGTCGTTGCACGATGAACATCTGAACTGGGAAGTAGACAGTTAGAGGCCAGAATGCAAATGCCCCAATCAGACCCATAACATCGTTGAAGAAAGGTAGAACCATTGACAGCACCGTGGTTACAACCACATACATGGAACGCCATACCAATCGAAAGAGGTTGAAGTGCAAGGGTTCACCCCATGGAACTTTCAAATAATACTCTTTATGGATGAATTGACTCTTAGGCCATCTGCTTGAAAGCGTATTCTCGAAGAATGCAAACAGTGGTTGTGTATACACCTGCATTCATTTCAGTTTTTCCAATAACTTAAAAAATTTAGAAACTTCATCAGAAAGTTTGTGATCATTCCAAGGAAATCCATATATTCTTGCAAGAATTTTTTTCACATTTTATTCTGGTTGATATGGCCGCTGAACAACTAAAAAAAGAAATTCCAGTTACTTAGTAAGAAATTGAAGCATGAGGCACGGTTCCTTTCAGTATGTGTCGCATTCTATATATATTTTTTTTTCCAATCACGCAAAGAACGTACTGCTGACATCAAGGTTGCTTAAAACTACCACCACCCCAAAAGTTTATGGTTCATGAAGTCATTCGTTTCATTCTACAAATTACCATACATGGTTGATATACATACCTGGTAGGCTCCAACCAGATGAACAACAACGCAAGCGTTGCCGAAGTCTACCAACCAGTAGGGGTTGTAGAATCCAAATCCGGTCAGCAAGTTGCCTGGGGCATTATCTCCAAAAGCTGCGTACCCAGCACATCCCACCGACATGTAGAATATGGTGGTGGTAATGATACCAAACAGACTAGCCCGCTTCATTGTTTTGTTTTCAGGGGGCGAAGATTTCAAGGTGTCCTGATCAGAAAGATGGAATGCAATGTAATGCACATGAGGTGGGAATGAGAACAAAATCAGTGTATTAACATTGCCCCACCTAATTTGAACTCTTTAAGTGAGGATCTGCGACGTGGTTTGATCTATTTACTTTTCGTTTTAAAGTTTAAAAATAGAGGCTACAAACTTCAACAGGGAACCAAAATAAAGTTACAATATAATTAGAAGTATAGATACCTGAATCTCGATTAGAATCATCGAGAACGAGTAAGCAAATGCTATGTTGCCGAGTGCGCTACATATCCCCCAAATCTTATTGCTCATGGAGACATATCCTACCGATGGATCGCCAACTGAAATCCCGGTTATTGACCCATATCCATGCTGGTGGTCTGCAATCATCATGGAGCGCTTTGATTGAGTAATAGCACGGCAAATTTAACGCTGGAGACGAAGACGAGTTGATGAGCTCACTAGCACGCCTTAAAATTAGATCATACCCTTCTAAACGATTTGCGAGGAAATTTCTAATCAAACGAGGGGGGTCTTTCCTCGTAGTGCGTGCTCTTAAGTGTCCCTTTTTTGACAAAGCTAGTGTGAAGATCTCAACAATACATAAAGCTTTGTTTCATGCGCTAATGAGTACTGATAGTTTTCGTTTCGTTGCTTGCACATCGTCAACGATTCCATTGATTATCTTGCAACAATGACAGATAGGCTTGAATTAAAAAAGTCACAATTCTCACCCACAGCTTTGGCGATACCGAGTCCCAAGCCGATTGTGGAATATAGAAAGGACATTACGGCAGCTAGTACAGACAGGAACCACAGCTCTCCAAACTCTGGTATCTGGGACAGAATAATCTGTACGAAACCAAACATACTCATGTATGGAATGTTCGAGGCTTGACATGGTCCTTTGGTACCCTTGTGATGGAAGCAGTCCGATCTTGTAATAGCCCTGAACCCAAAAAGGCGAAAGTTCACCCTCAATACAGTGATTTTTCCAGTTGAACACATGTATCAACCTTGGAAGTGGATGGACTTCCACTGACTACATGTAGTTTTCAGGATGAAGCTCAATCTGCAGCAGAATGTTCCTTTTCCCGAAGAATGATATGATATTCTTTCCAAAAAATGTGCACAGCACGAATTCAAATTAGTAGAATGAGTATCAAATTTTGTCTGAACATATCTAAACATATTTCGTTGTGATTCGTGAGGATGGTCTCTTGTGAAGCTAACAATGACTAGGGCCATTAAAAGACAAATTTCATGGCAGTTAAGGCTTAAGAGCAAGCGAGTGATATGTCGTACACCATGCTTGATGCTGCAGTAATGGTGTAGCCAATTGAAGTTCCCAAGAGGTTAGCATATTGCACCACACCACAAAGCAGTACTTGTCGAGGTCCTGCATCAATTCAAAGGAAAGATGCCGTCAGTTCGGTATCCAGTTCGAAACTACAAATTCATTATTTTCTAGAGTTGTTACTTATCACTTCAAATCATGTCTGAAGTGCCTACTCAGTTCTATGTTTCTCTTCTCGTAATCCTTTTGTTCATAACGATTTCCGCCCTTTCTGCCCGCGGTTCCCCTCTACACTTTTTTCCTATTATTTATTCATTATTATTTGTCTAGAAAGATGTTGGGAAGTTGCTGAAGGAATTTTCTTCTGGTGAGTAGAAATTAGTTTTTTCCAATATGTGTGCTTAACGTTTACTATCTAGAAAGAAAACGATGAGTTCTGGACTCAACGTAGAGAGTTGCATGCTGGTCCTCATGACCTGTGGCACATTAGGATTGCCTGGGTTGCCTTACAGAACTTCATGCACACCAGTGAGGGGAACTTAATTATCTTTTTAAAGGACGGCTGTTTAAGGAAGACCTACTTCGCTCTGAAATATGATTCAGAGTGAGATAGGATAATGTTCAAGGGACGGGTGATACATGTGATGTCCATTAACTGAGCATAAAAGAGTATGTAGCTTCTAGAACAGGAAAACAGAGCTAGGAGTAGAAGGGAAGAAAGGAATTGACAATTCTACTCTTCCTTAATTTACGCAAGTTTCTGGTGAGCAAGTGTTGGGCAGTTGAGGCAGATAACGAATGTTTGGAAGAGAAAGAGGTACTCCTTGGATACAGAAAGAGGAGTTTATCGACCTGCTTGGGAGGATTTAAGAGACTACGAGTGTAACTCAATCCATAATATACACTCAAGAGAATCATTTCTGTAATACAATATGATTACAGCAAGAACCTAAACAGCAGTGCATGTAGCAAACAGTTTCCCCTTCGTCCGGCTGCCTAAAATTTTGGAATTGGCTCACTCTCACTACATTTCTTAATCAAACTTTTCAAGTAATCTGGATCTGATTTTTGTATAAACTGAAGAGAGTTGGCGTAGTATACCTAAGTTAGCTTTCACAGCATCCATGTAGGTGTAATTACGTTTGCCAGTAACCGGATCAGGGTGGCGATAGCAGTCCGCCAACAACGAAGATGTATAGTAAGTCACGAATGAGAAAAGTAGAAGCACCAAGGGCCCAGCCACCCACCCCATTTGTGCCATGCTCCACGCTAGGGATAGCACCCCGGACCCTATCACAGCAGTTATTACATGCGCGGAGGCTGTCCAGAAAGATCCTGTACAATGTAAGCCACCTACTCTTGTTAACATTACAGAATTCCATCTGCATGAGTGTAATATAATTTTTCTAAAATAGTTGAGGAAGACCACCAATCTGCAGCTATCTGAGCACTACTTTTAAGGGACATGAACAATCGAGGGGACGGAAGCTGTGACGAGGATATTGTCATAACCCCGACAACAGTGCTCCAGGCTCTCCCAAGGGTAAACAGACTGAAACTCAGTATCCACTTCTGGCTGTCCGCAACATTAGAAATTGGTGATGAATACGGACTCTGAGTCGTATCTGTTATTAGAAGCATTTCCAGACAAAAACTTTTTAATTAAGAATTCGGGACGAAGAAACTGTTCCAGTTGCTACTTCATGCAGGTGTCAATATTTTCCCATTGTCAAAGCACTGGCGAAACCTACTCTTTTAAATTTAACCTCCTCCTTCATTACTCTTCATGCATGCTGCTACAACCTTGCAAGTTTACTTTCTGACTACTGGTGCTCCTCACCTAAGCGTATTTCCTCTACCTACTTAAAAAGTCATCTGGATATGAGTTGAATATAGGCACTACGATACCCGAGGGGAATGTAGATACTTCTATCACGAAAGTCCTCATGGTGTTTCTCGAAACAAACGACGAAGCCAACTGCGACGTGAAACTCGAATATACTGATCTCTCAGATCCCTCAAAAATTTCAAAAATGTTCCGGTTTGCAGCGACACGGACATCCCCAGACTAGGTCATGAGCATCCATATTGGCGGACCTTTTCCCCTCGTGATTTCATATTGATTTTTATATTCGTCGGAATGTCATTACTAGTATGATCGAAAACCAGAACATAAACTTGCCACAGAGGAAAAGTTCACAAACTTGTTGAGACTTCGACCAGGAATCAGATACCAGCGCACAGCTTTCGCAGCCTTGTCAACAGAAACCATTAAACAATAAAATGGGAATTCACTTGGGAAAGAAAGAAGACAGAGAAATAAAGAAAGAAAAGAAAGAAGTTCCAGGCCTGTGCGGCGCGTTTTCCCATCATCATCAAATTTGTTGCTGTCATCATAGGGCGGTGCAGCATTGACAATACAAGCATTTACTCTTCCTAATTCAAGTTTGTCATGATCTCCATGCCACTGCGCCATCATCTTGCATCCAATATCCTCCTCTGTATCACTTCTCCGCACCGGAACTTCGCCTTCTACAAACCCCTCCCAACTGAAAACTCCTACTCGACTTTCTCCTCCCCCTCATCCAGCGTCAAGGCAACCCAGACACCTACCGAACCAAACGACTCCAACGCTCATAACTGCGACCAGCTTATATCCCACACTTTCTTCACAATTTCTCAATATCCTCCCCCAAGTACTTCCTACTAACCCTCTACAAACTCTCGCTCATCAAAACACGACCACTTCTTATGAAACGCCTCTCACGAGCTCCCTACCCGTGTCGACCGACCCTCGGATCCCCACCGCATCTATTCCCCAACTTCCCACAGTCTGAAAAATAATATCTCCCCTACCACCAAATCTCCACACCATCCTAACGCCCACTCACCTACATCCTACACATCCAAACCCCTCTCACCACAACACACAATTCTACAAAAAAACTCACTACCCCTACGACGACGCCACGAGCCACCAGTTCAACCTACTCTCCCCATGCATTCTAATGAAATCAAATCTTCCCTGTCCCGCACAGCTGCAACACAATCCAACCGCTCCCTTACTAATCGAAACCAGTCCCTTCCACTTCCAGATTACGACTAACCAAGACCGGACGGATCACTCCTACGGCCTGCCGAGCTTGATCGTCGCCACACTAGAAGTGCCGATCGAGTTTCGCAGGTGTCGCAAGGTCACTGGAGTGTGTAAGGCAAAGCGCGCTTGTATCATCAGAAGACGGCAACTGAGTACCAAAGGAAGTTACATTAGTGGGTTAGTTAGAACGCCATTGGAAGAGGAAAGGCGGGGCGGGGGGGGCGCCTAACTGAAACTGGCGCCACCGACTCTTCCATCTACGTTCATATTTTCACGAACATCGTTGGACTCTCATCCGCCAGCGGGCCTCTTCGTCGTCCGTTAATGGACAGAGACGTGCGTGGAGAGCGACAGCTACCGTGAACTGTAGCATGGGGGAGTCATTACTGCCCACGGATGTCATCGTGCGTTCATCCAAGAATGGCGGGGTTCTTGTCTCCGATGTGACGGTCGTCGTTGACGTTTCATCCGGCGGGCGGCTACGGGGGACTGTCGTCGTCATCATTCCATGATCATTCATTCATCGATGGCTAATCGTCGTTGGATGGAGGAGGCTGGATGCCGTCCAGAGAGTTTCAGCCCATGAGTGCTCTTTCACTCTGTCCCATGATGGGTTCCAGGGATACTTGATCAGCGCATATTCTGAATTGCGTCACGTCCTCTCACTCAACCACCCATTCAAAATATGCGCTGATGTGGATGACTTATGCTTATGTGGATGCTTTAAGCCTATGTGAATGGTTTATGCTTACGTGGATGGTTTATGCTTATGATAATTTTGTGTCAAACCCAAATCTGCAATGTAATTGTATTTTTTTATTTGGGAAACAATGCACTAGTTCACATAAAACTTCAAAAGCACATTAAAACTTGAATATGCTCTATTTTTACACCATTTCCAGGTAAAAAAATCAGCAAAAGATATGTTTCTGAATAACGAAGATGCTTCTATTAAGAGACAAAATATTTCATTGAATTTTTTTATTATTTATTTTAAACAATTGAATCCTAATACTATACTATCAATAGTCAATTTGCTAATTAATAGAATCAAATAATAAATAAAACTTACTTGGAAAAACTTTACAAGTTACAAGCAAAGATTCACAACTTATTATTATTGACACTCAAAATTAAATTTACAAAAAATGATGTGAATGCCAAAATATCTTCAAACTATTATGGAGATTCTTACCTTGCTCTTAGTTATTGATTTTTGTGAATCAGATCAGGTGTGATATATTTATATTTATATATTTATGTATGAATCATGATTTTTATAGTTGAGTTTTTATAGAACTCAATGATAAATAATTGCAATTCCAAAATTATTGCTAGCTATTTTTATAGTTAAAAATTATTTCTTATATTTTTACTTTGGTTTATATTTTTAATTATTTAATCAACCAAAATAATTCTTACTAATAATGTTGACAAAAAAAACCATCTATTTTGAATTGCAGTGCTGATTTTTGTAAAAAAATTAATAATAATAATAATAATAATATTATGGTTCTAAATACAAATATAACATAACAAACAGATTTATTTAAGAAATTAAATTATTCAGTAAATCGCATAATAATTTTAAAATTAAAAAATAATCCTATTTTTATTCGTTGGTATTTAAAATTATTTTTATTTTACATATATTATTCTTTAATTGAGATTGTAATGAGGATATCAACATGCATTTAAATAATTCAAGACTCTATTGCTTAAAAATTGAAATGATTGAAATAAAAATAGAGTTATAGTAGGGATCTTTACATTTAAGACATTAGGTGAGAAGTTATAAGTATGCCACTTTAAATTAGGATTTTTTGGACAAATGCCCTAATTTTCTCAGAATAAGCTTTGGAAGTTGCCTTAAAATAAAGCCTCAATAGTCTTCCTCTGCATGGTTGAGGAGGAACCTTAGAATAACTGCACAGTCACACCAATCACATTCTAGGATATACACATCAATTTCACAATAGTAAAGGAGTTGCAAACACCTTAGAAAGCTATTGTAGGGACCAAGTTTGGTCTTGCACCTAATCCACAAGATGAAAACACTGATGCTATTATTTCACCACGTTGCTTGTTTTATAAGAAGCTTGGCCATAAAGAAATCAATTTCATAGGGCATAAGCAAAAGCAGACAATGAATGTAAAATTATTTATAATTCTATTCTATATTAACAATATCATGGCACATATGAAGTTGTAGCATGCTAAGGCATAGGCAGAGTATAGCTTGCTTCTTGTTGCAAAAAAGAAGCAATTCTTTGATTGCATGAATTTCAATAATATTCTTACAATTCATTTTGACAACGAGAATGCACTCATGTTTATAATCAATTGAGATATTGTGGACATCATTATTGGTGATATATTTTTCAATGTTGATAAAAAGAATCTACATTAATATGTGAATAAGCACTTAGTATCTTCAAGTTCTTCCAAGTTTCAAATGTCAATAGCAATGAATTTACTAGAGAGTAAGACCTGAATTAGGAAGCATACAAGGTCAAAATTAAATCTTCACATTTGTTCTATCTTTTTATCAGTTTCCTGTCTTGTGGAGCTTTGTTCCAAATGGTAGCATGTCTTGTGGATGTCACCAAAATTGTATTGCACATAAGCTGTTTTAGTAGGTGTAGTAAAAATCCCACTACTTTGTTTCTCAAAGTGGTCTATGTCATGAACCTACAGAAGATCACGGAGTTGTTGTGCATCTAATAGGTAGTTTTTCTTACTCTTGACATTGGCTTAAAGTAGGGCACTTTATATCTTGACTTTTAAGTTTGATTAGAGCATCAAACAAAGTTGCACAACCTCCAGCTTCTTACTATTCTGCTATTTGATTGCAAGACAATCAACATCATCTTTGCTGTGAGTAGCACAAATGACAAGTAAACGATGATAAGGTGACTTTTTGGCATCATGATGAGGATAGTCAGTATGGCTATTGATAATATTGTTTATATGTGATGTGCTCTACATTAACTTGACCTCATGGTCCAAGTGGAGTAGCTAAAGTTATATAATGACAAGTTTGTGAACATCTTGACATGCCTTATATTTTATCTTTACTAGCAGTTCAATCTTATTAGAAGGATGGATTGTACATGACCAAAGTTTATGGACATGTGTTGGTCATTCATAAAGAAACTCTCAAGAAGATGTTGAATGGGTAGTTCATTCAGTGGTGAGTTTGTTTGTTGGTCTCATCAATGGCATCTCTACCATTATTGTCCAATGTGATCAAAACAATGATGCTAATAATGATGATATTCCCAAAATCCTACCCTACAATCTTTGTCAACTACGGACTTCTTTTTTATGCATTTTGATTTGTCAATATAAGATATAGTTGGAATCAGTTGGATAGGATACCTAGGCAATCAAGGATATTGAGAACAACCATAGAGCAATGGTGTGTGCCTTCCGAAAGGAAAGTGCCTTCAAGGCCACCATTGACAAGTGCAATGTTTTGCAAACAAATTTTAATGTTGGATGGGCTTATTGCAATAGTTGTTTTTCACAACTTCAAAGGTTCTATGGTAGGCTGGCCTCCATCTTTCCTAATACCAATATTATTGAATCAGACTTCTTTGTGATTGGATGAGAGAAAGACAGTTATTGTCAATGCCTTATCAACTTTTTGCTTGAGAGCATTTTGCACTTGAAGCAGTTCAATTGTATTTGTCAAATTTGATGGATAAAGATGTTTTTGGACACTTCTATAACAAAGTTTTATTCATTTCTAGTTTATCTAAAATAAAATGTTGTTGCAACTCTAGAATAAGCTAATTTCAAGGCTTTCACTAATTTAAAGTGCCATGGTTATGAAGCCTCACTTTTCAAAAATAAGTTAGAATGTACCTTTTTTTTTTTTCTACATGATATGAATGATGTTATTTCTTGGAATTCCTATTTGGCCCATGTCAAGAAGAGGTTTTATAATCAAACTGGAAGGATGTCTTTAAAAATGCTATAAATAACAACCATTAAGAAGAAATCAATCTTTTTTATATTTTGTATAATTGTTAGAATTAAGATATAAGGTGAGATATTTAAATTTGTAATAAAATAATTGATTTGATCTATTTTATGGTCTTTCCTTGTTTCTATTCTTTGCCAAATAAGAGATCTTAGTAAAGTTTTTGGATCATGATTTTTCAAAAGGGGCTTCTAAATCTAAACACCACCTGTGAAATAAATCTAATCACAGAAAAACATATGCATGAAATCAAAATAATATAATAACAATAACAGTTACATCTTATCACCAAAAATTCATTGTGTGAATTTGTGTGTAAAGAGATTTTTGTTAAGTACTAATAAGAAATGATTTGTTCATTACAATATATTATTACAATATCTATTCCCCCGTACTTGTTAGCATCTATATAAGGACACATAGAAAAAATTGACAAAGCAAATGAAAACAACATAGGTTGTTTTGGCACTATTTTCCAAAACATAGTAAAACACTAAGTACACTAAAAAATAAACACATAAAAATGATAATAATAATAATAATAATAAATACAAATTTAAACAAATTGATGTCCACCTTCAAGGATCCAAACAAAAATAAGAAGTTTGCTAAGATTGGGAGAAAAAACCAGATCCTTGAAATCTTTCACAACAATGAACAGCAAGCATGAATTCCTCGACACAAAGCAGTAAAAAAAACAGTAATGTCAAGTTTCAATTGACTTACTCTCAATCGAAGGCAGAGAGCACTTAACAATCACTTGGGCCCGACGTCATATATGGAGAGGAGAAACCAAGACTAGAATTGGAGCCATCCAGTTTCAGAGCAGATGATCCATAAACTACAAAACTGAGAAACGAGGATCGTGCTTTCAGTCCCAATTCTTACATATCAAATTTAGACCATCCACAAATAGAATCATCAGTTCTACTACAAAATGTGGTAAGCAAATTTAATCACATCACCTACAGGTAATGTGTCTGGGCTCCCCTCTAGCACTACAAAACTCAAGGTTATGGCTAAGTGGGTGATTGGATTCATGGGCTCTTGGATCAACTAAGCTGCTGTGGGGGAGGAATAGTAAGACTAGGCTGACTATGGAGAGTATGTTGAGGGGAATTAGTGCTCACCGACAGCTCCATGCCCAAGGCGCAGCGTCTCATCTTCTGATACTGTCATTCTACCTAGAGCAAATATGTTAATCTCTAACAGGTTAGTATCTACATTAGAATTATAACGTGAACGTCCCCTTGGGCTACCTTCTGGTGTCCGTTGTTGGGGAGGTGTGTTCCGAGAATAGTCTTTTCGAGGATCAGGAAACCCACCACCTCCGTTCATCATGGAGAGGCCTGCATGGCCTCCATTCTGTCCCCTTTGACCTGAATACCCCTCATTGAAATGAGTAGATTGTACGCCATACACCACCTGATTTGGGGGTAGGGATGAGTTGCCATAGCCTCCACGGGTCGGAGTCGACAACCCAGAGCTCATCATCTGGGTTGCCGTTCCATTGAAAGCTTGGTGCCCTGTTCGAGTTCCTGAGGCCTTGGCGTTAAGAGTGAAAGGTGAAGATAGACCATGCCCTCGCGGTAAAAGTTCACTGCACAAAAGCAAACAGCGGTTAAGCCACGTCTTCAATAGCACTTCCATTTGAGTCCTTCACTCTACAGAGCAACAATCCCAAAAGCCGTGTGTTCCAACAGAAATTCAGTGGCAGGTTTTGGATGGATCGATATGTAGGATGCGAATATAACCTGGTCGAAGCCACTTTCCTATGTTGGGTAGAGTTGACCGCATCAGTGTCATGCAAAGGAGACACATTTCCTCGTCCCGCATTCGGTGTCGAATTCTGCAGTCACTCCCATCGAGTAGGCACATTAGATGACGTTACAGCAGAACTAATAATGGAACAAGAATAATTAAGAAATGAAGTGAAAGTTATAAACGCGGATGTACTTCCATAGATGGTTTTAGATTCTGTATTACCTTGCTAGTGAACCTTTAATGGTACACAATCAAGAAATACATTTCATATTATTCGAAAGGCGGTTGATTCACCTCAGTTCTGTATTAATATTAAAGTGTAAAATCTCACAGACTTCTCGGACGAAAATACATGATTAAGCCAATAGAGGTTCTTTAAAATCATCTTGACATGTCGATGTATGGATTAGGAAGGGTTTAATCACAAGACTTTTCTGACATAAAAACACTCTTCTGACATGAAACAAGATGAGGAGAGAACACCAGTACAGCAATCAGATTCAACAACAATTGAGAAAATGCTACGGCTACACGATGAGCAAGAAACAATTGAACGGGTTGATAGGGCTGCTTACCGCAGATTTGTTTATAATAACGGTACTTGGAGGAAAATCGGCTCCGGCAAGAATATCATCTGGTCTACAGACACGTGGGGGATCTTGAACAAACGGGTGTTGTAGCAAGTAAGAAGCTGTAGGCCGATGTGCAGGATCTCTTTGCAAGCACAGCCGCACAAAGTCTTGTCCCTCTGTGGACAATGAATCTGGAATAGCAGGCAGTTCTTTACTGTTCCCAATCTTGAACATTGCTGCAACCTGTTACACATACTGAGCACTCAGTGCTTGGTTCTACCAAAAGGAGGTAATAAATGTCTGAGCAACGAATCTAGTATTGTATAGACAAGACCTGGTTTCAAATCGTAATACAAGTCCAGATAATGCGTAGCAGTAAACCTAGGTGATTACAAAACTGGAATCTGTGTTGCTCACCCCTTCGTATTGGTGCCATGGAGGCTTAGTAGTCACCATCTCAAGGACAGTACAACCAAGACTCCAAATATCCACAGCTAAATCGTAACCTCCAGTGTGCTTGATCACCTGCCAGTAGAGAGCCATGTGAAGCTCTTTTAGAGAGGAAGTCCTAACAGCAACAAAACTAATTGTATAGAAGATAAGCAAAATACAATCAATCTTGAAGAGCATCTACATGCTTTCTATACAAATGAAACTAGCCAAGTGTGCATTTATCACTTACCTCAGGAGCCATCCAATAAGGGCTTCCCTTGAAAGACTGGAGAAAAGATTGAGCAGAAATCTGCAGAGCAACGTGCCAGGAGCACGTGAGATCCATACTCTTGCGACAGCATGGACTGCTGACAGTGAGGAACACGAAGGCCTATCCTACGTGACTTAACATGAATCTGGAAGCACCCGTCTTGAAAGAACTCAAAACTAAATTTTAAAAAATCGCGAAGCAACGGTAGTCATGGTTATTTTACAAAAGGCAATAGTTGATTGAGCAAATTTCAAACAGCAAAATTCGGCCCCCCAGAAACAACGGGGCAGACATACATGCTTAGCCATGCCGAAGTCGGCAAGTTTCACCATCCCGTTGGTGTCTACAAGAATGTTGGCGCCCTTGATATCCCTGAAAGAATAGTCCATCGTGTCTTTTTAGAACCAACCTCAATCATTACAATTTATGGCTACCACTAACCGTTTTAGTAGCACTGAAGAATATGTGGAATAAAAACAACAAAAGTTCTAAATAATGAATTGAATTCAAGAAGTACCTATGGACAGTGTTTTGGTTGTGTAAATAAGCTAAGCCAGAGAGGATCTGGCGAGTATAATTTCGTACAACTGGTTCTTTAAAAGCGCCATACTCTTGGAGCAGTTTATAGATTGATCCTCCTGAACCGTACTCTAAATATATATACAACCTGTTCTCCAGCTGCACAGATTCCCAGCAACATAATCAGATCAAGACAATTAATCCCCCACAGCAGCGGAAATTCACCAGGATGTTACCCCAGTCATGTCGAGAACTATGAGCAAATAAACGTTTTAGATGTACCATTTCAGTGCCAATATACTGTACAATGTTCTCGTGCCTTAATTTGCTCAACAAACTAATCTCCTGGTCCACAACACATAGAATCAACTCGTAAGAAACCGTGACATTTTCAACAAGCTTTGCTATATCAGAATCACCTTCAGATGATGTTGAAATAATAATAATAAATGCGTAGATAATAGATGAACAGTTATTAAAAGACAAATAGCACACCAAAAAACACGTACTCCTTAGCAACTCTTGACACTCAATGCTATTCAAGGATGTTCACCAAGAGGCAGAAGATAAAACAACAGTGTAGACAGATCATGAGCAAATCACTACAGACCACGCTGAAGCGAGATAACGGAATGCTGAACACCTGCATGTATTATCTAATAACAAACAGCAAAAATCAGAGAACCGTCAGCCATATAAGGAATGGCTCAACGCACCTGCCCTAACTGTTTAACACTTTCCTTCGACTTTTGGTCATCAGAAACCAAGAGAACCTCTTTCATGGCACAGAAGCCTCCACTATCGCTGCAAGATGCACAATACAGTACTAGATGTTAAACGCTTCAAACTGCTTTTGATTTTGTTGAGATTTAAGACCTCAACTCACATCAAGAGAAATCCCAATAATCATATTGAAGTAAGCGATGGTGGTCACAGGATAGCAGCTTACTTATTGAAACCCACATAAACATTTCCAAACGTTCCACTCCCTAGAAGCTTCCCCTTCTGCCATTTTGTTGGGGTCCCAGATACAGGTGAATCCGCACTCCTGGAAGGTTCCGAAGTCCTGGATGGATGACGAGAGTGCACAGTCGGTGTGCTTGGTCCTGAAGTAATAGGCGGAGAAGAATAAGGGCTATTATTGCCCATGGGCACGGGAGGCAGCGGCAATGGCATTGGTGGGTACGGGGACCGACCCTGAACTTCCTCTTGCCGAGTTGTGGGTGAGTCAGGTCCGCCGCCAGTTCGAATTACAGCTCGTGGATGCAGAGGAGAAACAGTAGCACTAGGGGTGAGGCTGAGACCAGGACTTCTAAACTGTGGACTGGGACTAGGAGACCTTTCTTCATATTGATGAGGTGGCCACGGAGGGGCTACATCACCTTGCCAAGAATTGTACGAGGAAGTGTTGCCTGAGCGAGGACTAACTGATCCTGACATTACAGGCTCTGCACTGCATTGTGCTTGCAAGAAACTGCGAGGGCTGGGGACGGGGCTCAACATTGAGCTGTCGGATTGAGGAATCTTCAGAACAGGTGGGGGGTATAATCCTTCTCCCTGCCATACTGGAGACCAAACCCGTGACGTAGGAGAGGAGACAGGTTGGCGACTCCCGGGGAGAGGACTCATGGAGCGGGATGTCTCAATACGTGGTGGCGCATTTCTAGCCATTCTTCCCCGCGGTGTTGTTGAGATTTGACCCGTTCTGACAAAGGAGAATTTATTAGGGAACTAGCACAAGCACAGTCATCAAGTTTTACAGTGAAAACTCAATTGGTGGACTCTTACTAGAAAGATCACCGCAAAAATTATTATAAAATGTAACATAATATGTAATAAAATTATTCTTTTAATTAAAGAAATGAAGTCAAAGTAAGGTGGTTGCGCTTACTGAGATGCCGGCCGTGGCTGATCGGGAGGTTCCTGCTGCATTGGTCTGAGATTTGAGTTAAACGGCATTAGTCGCCCATGCCGACAATCTGCTACTTCAACGCTGCCAAGCGAGCTTACACTAGAAGACCCAGATACATAATCAGCTTCAGCAGGGAATTCCATCGGCAGTACGACCTGGGTTGGTGAAGGTAACGCCATAAATGACAAATGATGCAACGGAGTTAAAGGAGCACTGGAACACTGACTCCCTGGGTAGGTCTGCTCCATGGATTTCATGGGAGGTGCACATGGCAACGGAAGAGGCTGTCCACAAGAATGCCTTCCTCTGCTGTTACTAGGAGATGAAGGAGATGGTGATCGCGAACCTTTACCGGAGCCAAAACCTGCCCCCGAAACCAAATCTAAACTATGGCGGGTGTTGATCTTACTTCTAAAGTCTTCATTCCCCGCATGTGACCGTCTATACCGTCGCCCATCAAATAAACGACCACCGGTCGTAGGTTTCTTCTTATCCTTCGACCTGGAAAACCAGGGCATCTTTAAAGCCGAAATGGTTGCTGGTTGAATATGGCTCCACTACAAGAAATATTTATGAGTTTTCCCCCCACCACATGCTGGAAGTATGCGACAGTCGTCAATGCACTCACACATTTTCTTGTAGTCACTTTTTACTAAAACGAGACTTGAAACGCAGCCGCAATGAAGATGTATTGCGACTTTTTCGTTTGAATGAGAGAACCGCATTTCGAAACTAACACGCGAAAGAGAATCGACGAATTCAGAAGCAAATTCACGGCAATCAGTCACACCTCAAGTCTAGCCGAGACATTTCCTCCAATAGAAGAGCGCTTCAAGTGACCCACATCACTCGTGTATTAACGCAAGCAGCCCTTCTCTCATGTTCCACATAAATAGACCTTGTGATGCTCCACAAAAACCGGCTAGATAATCAAATATTTGAATCTGTCCGGAATCCATAGGCTATAAGCTAGCTATATTCTCCTGCATTGAGCTTTCTCAAAAACCCAACCCTTCCGGTTCAAGTAGATCGATGCGAGACCATGGAAAAAAACATGCCATTGTTAACGGTCGGACCAGAATTCCATAACCAGCTAGTGCGGGCTTGAATCAGCAACTCAGATAGAGGCCTGTAAATCTGCACCGATTGTCCCAGCTTCTGTTCCTAGAAGCTTAAACCTCATCCGAATACATGCAACCTCTTAGTCTTGAAAGACGTGAGCCAGTAGCAACTTGACTTCGAATTGTTCAGGTCTGCCGAGATCAAGTAGAAACACAATTAGTAACTGACCCAAATGCCAATACAAAACAGTCAATCAAAGTGAAAAAAATACGTCAAGCCAATTCCTTATAGAAAACTCTTACAATACCTTTCAAGTTCAACTACTTTAGACTGCTGATTGTAGAAGTCATAAACATTGACAGTCTTTCCAATACAGGTCAAACAAATCTTTAAAAACCTCACTAATCACTAGACTTTTCAATTCAACTCTCTTGAAGGGATAATTTGAGACATACCAGGCACCCAATCATATCCCAACTCTCTGGAAGTAATCACAAAGATAGATTAAGTGCGATTAATTTTATTAGCTGACGAACGGAATCAATTGTTCACCACATGGCAAAGAGTATATCCTCAAGGCATAAAACTCCTCATTGATAATATTACCATGAGTAGGTTAGGATTATATGATCCCAACTCAAACTTGCAAAAAACTCAGATTGCGGGGATGATACTGTCAGATCAAGCAATAGAATTTAGAAAGTTGTAGACCAGGGAGTCTAGACAAGCCAGCGTGTGTAGAAATCATCTCCGCTAGTGAATTTTTGTCAGGTGAATTAGCTAGCACCACGAGACATTCAGTCGTAGAAATATGAATTGAGATTGCTTCCGAATCTAAAAATCTGACATTAGAATGAACGTTGAGAGGGAATCCCAACGTCAGTGATGAGCATCTACACAGATTGCGCCCTAATGACGTAAACCTGAGCGTATTCATAAAGAGCTTGATCACGAAATAAAGCATAGGCCACAACGCACCAAATTAATGGAGCTTAACAACTCTGGATGTGTACATCTCTAGCACTGAAAACCCTAATGTTTGCCAAAGTGACTCGAAAACCATGACAGCTGAGGAAGATTCTTTTAAAAAAAATTAAAAATGAGTGAACTGATTCAACAGATTGCAATGCCAATAGCCAACGTCCAAGAAAATGCAGGTACGTGGAGGACCGGCAACGATGAAGGTTTGGTACCTGGATACCACGCACTACCAATCGAGAGAAGCTGCTAACTCGAGTGAACTTTTCTAATGCAAACGTGCTGAAAAGATCAGGACCCAGCTCAAGAGTGTGAAAATGGACAGTACTCAAATGCAAGCTCCCTGCGAGGTGATAAATCTACGCTACCCCACTCTTCGCGAGGAACACCCCGCATCAAAAACCTACACCGACGAAGTGCATCTGTGCGTGGGACTTCAACCCTATACCCAGCAGTTCGAAATGGAGAAGACGAGAAGCACCAACGTACACCAAAACTATCCCCCAGGGAAAGTACAGAATCTAGGGCAAACCACCTACAATCACTTGTTTCCCTGATAAACGGACACTCTCGATCATGTAAACTCTCATGAACTCGGTATGCAGAAACTCCTCACTCGACCATGTTATGCCATCACATATCCCAGGAATGTCAGAGGGAAACCGTCGTCCCTTCGACACAATGATGCATCTGAGGATCATCCCAGATTCACGGCCATGGCCACTAATAGCAGTTGGCATCTTCATCTGGTGGGTGAGGACCCACAACTCTTACCGCGAAACGTAGGCAGCTGGAGCCTCTGTCCATGAGATTTCTATGTTTGAAGATGAAGACAATGGAATCCAAACCAAGCGGTAACTACTTCCTTCGTCCTCTTCTTCTTCTTCTTCCTCTTCCTCTTCAACTCTCGCTCTCCCATTAGATTTCCTTTCCTTTCCTTTCCATTCCTTTTCTGTCTCGTTCACTAAGCTACAAAGCACATTGCGAAATAGTGGATGAGCGCTTGGAGAGGAAAGGGAGAGGGAGTAGAAGAGATGGACCAACGCCACAGTGATGTGCGAAACTGTACAATGCTGCATCGAAACACTGGATCACTTAAATGAAATCTACTTGAGGTTAAAAGTATAAGCGATGGATACATACGCAACGAGCGCGGCGGTGTGACCGCTGCCGCTGCCGCTGCCCGTCGTACCGTGCCGTGACGCCAAGTGACGCAACGTGCCGCGGTTGTGCGTGAGTTTCTTGGAGTCCTTTCTTACCTTCATTTGTCCCTTGATTTGTTAATAAAATTTACAGCATTTCAAATAAATTAAATTGAATGAGGGAAGTTTGATGTAAAAAAATACTCAATTTACACATGAATTACAGTGTTTTATTTTTTAGATCTACTACTAGGAAATGTGTTATAATGATGTTTGAGATTTGTAGTAGTTTAATACAATAAGATATGGGAATAATAAAGGTTAAATCTACATGAGTTAATTCCATATAATTCTTCATTTGGATGTAATGTCGGAAAAATTAAGTAGCTTAAGATGAAATGAACTAAAGAAAATGCGAAATTAAAGCTTTAAAGGATCCTAAATGAAAAAGCTTTAATGAAAAAGCTTTAAAGGATCCTCAATGTTTTATAATCTATTAAACTATTTATTTAATAATATTTAATAGAATAAATATTATACATAATAATAAAAATAAATATCTTGTAAAATATATAGAATAAATATTACATAGAATAAATCAATGATAATACTATATTATAGACTTAACCATTAAAAATGGCATCTTCATTTATCTCATTGAAACAGTTATGATATGTCAAAGCATATTACAACCTCTCATTTTTTTTTTTTGCTCAAAATATTGATTTTTAACCATCAAATGTTCCTTAAGGTATCTCTGAAAGGGTTTTAAACATCTTCTTGTTGTTTTCAGAACTCTTTTTATAATAGCTTAATAACTTTGTATTACATATTTTAAAAATATGCCACAAGATTCTCATAGAATATAGTGAAAATAAAATTGATAGATTTAAAATATTAGTTTGTTATATTAGTATATGGATAGATGATTTTATACAAGCCCATTGGAAAAACTTAACATGATCATTATTTATGAAGATCCATATAATAGAAAATTTTAAATTATTAACCTTATAGCAAGAGAATAAAATAATTTTATCATGTATAAAGATATATTCTTAATAAATGTTTTTAAGAACAAAGCTAAAGAGTTTACATGCTTGTATTTTAATAATTATGTATTTATAAGTGCCTTGCTTGCATTGCCTCACATCATCTTGTTTAGTCTAATTTATATATCTTTCTTTCTTTTTCTCCACTTTATATTTAAATAATTTTTTATTTGATTTAAAACATGTTATTTTAATTTGTATTAAAAAATTCTTGCAAATTTTTTATATATACAATTAAAATAAATATTTTTGTACATTGAGATACAAATATTTTTATGAAAATGCACACATTTTAAATTAGAAATTTTCACATATTTAGATGTTAATGTTTTAAAATAGAAGAAATAAAATCTTAAATAAAAAATAAAATATAATAATTTTTATTTTATTTTATTCTTAAATAAGATCTTATAATATTGATGTTAGATAATTAATAAATATAAATGATCTAGGAATTGAAAATCAATTATAATAAGTTTTAAGTTTTTAAATTTATTATTATTATCTGAGTTGTTAAAAATCTATTATTGCCTTTTGCAAAGTGTAACTAAAAAATCCAGTAGACATTTGGATGTGGGAAAAAATAATCTATTACATATAATTGTATTATGATTATAAAAATAATAATCAAATTGTTTAGAAATATCCTACTTAACATTCTTTATCCTTTTAGAAATCTTAAATCCAAGTTGTCATAAATCTTATATTCCAATCCTTATCAAGCTTAAATTTTATGCTTTGTAAATCCTAAAAAATGTATGCTATCAAAGTTAAATCTAAAGTAAATCAAAAGAAAATCATAAAGAAGCATTAAGAAATCTAAAGCCAACCATAAAAAAATCTTCATTAAGTCTTACAAAAATCCTTAGAGATCCTTATTTCTAAGCAATAGGCAACAACTCCTAATTAGACCATTAGATTAGTTTAAAATTTTCGCACTATGGGCTCTATAAGTCATATATTAATATACAAGTTTTAAAAAAAGATAAAACTTACAAGTATAAAAATAATGCCAAAAATATCTATTGATGAAATTTAGCTTCTTATTTTAAGTTTGGCAAAAAAATGTTGTAGCTAAATCATGTGTTTAGTATCACTAATTTTTATTGTAATTTAGTATGTGGCTTAAATCCCACTTCTTGCATCAATATTTCAAATTTTTAATTCATCTAATGGTCAAACCTTTATAAATCTAAGAATTAGAAAATGACCTTAATTTCTCTATTTTTACATCTTTTATCTATGTAGTCTAATATCTCTTATTTAATAATCACACTCATTTTAATCACCTTTGTAAATATATCTCTTGCAAAACCTTTACTTTTCTTGTCTAATTGAAGAATTGTTTTAAAATCATAACCTTGCAAGTCTTACACCCTTGGAATGCACTTGAAATCCATTTTCTATCTCCACATTCCAATTTCTAAAATAAAATATTATTTATTGTAGGTTTTTTTTTTTTGTTTTTTTGTTTTTTTGTTTTTTTTTTCGTAGTAGTAGTAGTAGTAGTAGATGATTTGATTTCAAATTTGGTCTTCTCTCAAGTATTAATCTAAATGTGTTTATAATACATTTCGTAAGAACTTATTCTTAACTGTTTTTTAAAGTTAATTGCATTTTTTTTTTTAATTTATATTTTGATCCATTCATAGCCCTACAAAAAAGGATAGAAATATTTTTAAAATGAAAGAAAATAAAACATCAAATTTGTAACAATGTTCAATCAAATAGCTATGAATTTCTAAAAGTATATACTAATCTTTTACTTAAGTTCTTTCTATGCATTTTGGTCTTTATCCATATTTTCACCTAACAATTGTATTACATAGCACTATTATACAATCCATGAAAAATAAACCATTGATGTCAATAAATAGTACATGAAGTAATTTGTTTTAAAAATAAAATCTATAACAATACATTGTTATATTTAACAGATATATTATTTATTTTTACTATGGGATTTACATACTAGTAGAAATAAAGACAACAAATTTATTTTAACTAATTCAGTATTTAGATTAATTTTTTTTTAAAAATAAATTGAGATATATTTGAGTATTCTTACTAAATACCATAGTTATAAATTTGATATTATTTAAACTTGTGTTTAGTGGCAATTTGTTTTAGACTAGAAGAATTTATTCTTCTGTCAGATTTAAGAAATATATCATATTTCATAAGAAAAGTGTTAATTAACAACAAAAATAATGATGTCTTTTTAATTATAAAATTGATTCATTTATTATTATTATTATTATTATTATTTTATTGTTTATAACTTTTTGACTATTCTTGTGTATATGAAACATATTAAGCAAATACTTAATTCTCAAAGTCAATAATATGTTTTAGAAGAACATCCTTCAAAGATTTTAGTAAATTTTAATTTTTTTTAAATTATCAAATCATATTGAGTACAAAAATTTATAATTTAAAAAAATTAAAATTTAATGTTGCATAATTTTAATGAGTAATAACATGTTGAGTACAAACATTTATAATTTTTTAAAATGTAATAATAAGAATAAAAATCTTCACTCAACTTTATACTTAAATTCATTAGTCCTTCCCTCCATAGTCACGACTGCCACGTCACTACAAGCTCGTAATAACCCGTGTCAGTGCACAGAGTCACGGCTTCCCATTACCCCTAATTTGAAAGGCACTGGATGCACGGTAGAAGCCCTGACCATGCGACCCTAATTCCGCTCGCCGTTAAGCACAAGACTAGCCCCCGCGTCAAAGTTCTAACGCGACGTTCAACTGATTTTGACCACGTTCTCAACCGATGAGAACGCATCCCAGCGGCCCTCCACGCGTCCAGTCGTTGACAACACTTCAAATCGCACGAGGCTCGGCAATGGCGGCGATCGTGACGTCACACATATATCATCCATCATCCACATATGACAGAGCGAGTTTCATTCATCAATTTGGACGACGCCAGGTACCGCGCGCTGTTCCGTAGCCCTCCTCGTTTCCACTGTCGTTGCCAAAACCCTCACGCCCCGTTTTTGCAGCTGCACCTTTTTGTACATCAGTTTGTTGTTGAACTAATTGATCACCTCGCGGGGTGATAATTCCATGGTGGTCAGTGCGAAAGAGTGCAGTGCATTGTGAAGTGGCTTCTTATTATTTGTTTTTTCATTTTTAATTTTAATTTTTTTATCTTCTGAATAATTTGGAAACGTTCATCATCGGAGAGCTGTGTAGTGTTTGAGGTCAATCGAGCTTGGTTCGAAGGTTTGGAGATAGAAGGGAGAAGCTGATTGGGTCCAGTTGGTTTTGAGAAGACTGTGTCGAGCTGGGGTGTGCATTGTTGTTGTTGTTGTTGTTGTTGACGTTGGCGGTGACTGTTTGGTTTTGAAGAACAGACGAAGAAGGGGGTTCTGGAGAAAGAACTGTGCATTTTAGTTTCAGTTGCAGGTTTGAGAATTGGGTTAGGGGTTTTGGGTTGCATGAAAAGGAGAGGGAGGAGGTGAAGAGGCTTTTGATTGGGATTGATGCTGGGGCGAGACCTCGTGCATGAGCCCATTGAATTTGATGCTGTCCTTTGGATCTCTGCGGGGAGGGGCAAGCCCCGTATCAGTCAGCTTGCCCCATGCCAATGGTTCAGGTGATTTCATTTACCTTACTCTGTCCCAGTGTAGCTAAGTGGCCATGAGACAGATCATTGGTCATGAACATGGATCACTCCTGGGCAGTTTCTTATCGAATGGTAGCGCATGAAATTGTACAGAACCCATGTAGGTGATCCCCATGTATTTTTCATGCATCCACAATGTGTAGAGTAAACCCTTTCTATGGATTTGTTTTCATGTGTTTTATATTTCTAGTATGTGTAGCCCATGCAATAATTCCAGCCGCACTGTCCGAAAAAGGATGATTGTTATAGATTAAGTTGGTCCATCACAATCACAATCTGAAGTAGAAGTTGTGCATTGAACAGGTGAAGGTAAGAAATCACCCTTGCCCCCGGTGCTTCTAGAATGCGGTTACTATGATGTGGAGCAGGTGCATTATCTCACTCAAGCTCTGCTAGTCACTCTGGCCAAAGCATGTGTGGAAAAGACTGCTGGAGATCCTTTCAGCCAGCGGGCAGGTGTGTTGCCGGATATCAAGAAAGAGATGCTCGAGTACCTGCACCAGCAGAGTGAGGCTTATGCTTGTGGAAGTGGGATCTCGAGCCACGGCATGGGTCAGGTAAGATGCGAGTTTGATTGGCTGCTCTTCCATTGAAGATTCATAAGAAAATGAAGTGCTCACTGCAGATATCTTGATTTTCCTTTTCTTTTGACTTCCTTTCTGAATATACATTTTCAAAACTCTGAAGGATTCGAGGGCCTCAAGATGCTCCCGACTCTCTTCTAAGCGTGACATTACTGGGACCAGTGAAGAGAGTGTGAGAATTTCAGCAACCCGTGTTACGTGTCATTCAGAAATTAGTCTAACACATATTTACACATGCTTCAGGTCCTTCCGCCATCTAAAGTAGTGGACGATATTTTTGAGAGCTTCATCAAATCCAAGAAGAATCTCTTCTCTAGAGTCTCGAGTAAAATTATTGACAGCATTAAGAAGGAGGATAAGGTTGACGATTTTGTTAAGGAGTTAGACCGCACTGGGGTGTGGGTGGTCGGACGCAGAGAGGTTTCAACCCTCTCCAACACTATTTACTAGTTACCCTCTGAAAACGCATGATTGCTCTTCATTCGTAGGTTTTTTAATCTTGTTAGCTTCCTCAATGTTCGTCATCCTGTGACGTCTAATTGCTCATGCTTATGCTTATCAAAAGTTGGCATTGTTAGGCTCGTGCCAAGGCTTTACTGAAACGAGTTGACCGGAGCAAGACCTATCACTGTGAAATGAAGTTCGATACTGACAAAGAACTTGAAGATCATCGATCTACTTGCAATCTAAGGCCCTATAATTGTAAAAACAACGGATGTGGTGCTTTTTATTCAGCACATCATGCAGCTGCTCATGACACTTCCTGCCCTCACAAGCTCCTTTCATGTAAACTTGAATGCGGTTCCCTAATACCCCGTGGGGAGATGGAAGCGCATGTTGTTACTGTGTGTCCAATGAAGATAGTGAAGTGTCCTTATCATGCTGTTGGATGTTTGCACGCAATGGCGCAGGTTCAAACTCTGCTTCATTCTATTCCTACAGTTTTACAAATGTTGCATAAGAAATTTGTGCTGGATCAAATGTGTCAAGACTTGCGATTTTTCTCCTTGAGGATCTATATTTCTTGCCCTTGTTTTCTTTAACAATATAGTTAAATATTGTTGTAGAGATGTTGAAAGTTCTCGAAACGTTGAGTATCATTCTCAATGTTACTTGATGTGCACACAGTTGGGGAGCAAGTTGTAAATTCTTTTCTAAGCCTGTTGTGGATGCAGAAATTGTTGGAACAGCACTGTACAGAGCACATGGGACAGCATCTGTTGGAGACACTTCAATATGTACAGAACCATGAAGTTGCAATAGGTAGTCATGTTCATCGTATTGTTCTTTTGGAAAAGGTACACATCCTTTGCTTCAATCTGAGGCTTTACAACGTGCTGCACATCACATTATTGTCCCTTCTCTCTGACCAAATCTCACATACCGATCTCTCCAATCTTTGGTAAATGCTTGTATCTGTTTGAAATTTGTCATCTCTCACCTATCTGTGCTGTAAGAATATGATGACGAGTTTCGATCTTTTAAATTGCAGGCTCTTCAATTGACGCAAAGGTCTGAGGCAGTAGATATAGGGACGGTGCTCCTCACAGTGAAGGAGCATGAGAATAGAGTGAAGCAGCTGGAAGCAGAAGTTAAGAAGCTCCAGGCAGACCTCAAGGCTACAGATGCGTCAGCTGAGGTGTTGCAGCTGCGACGGGAGCTTCGGAACCTGCAAAAGCAGGTCGAAGGTAGCACATTACAAAGTTCTGCATACCCTCCACAGTAATTCAATAGACTCATTTTTGCAAGTCTTGCCTCTACATTACTAGGTTGATTTCGTGAGCTCGTGAAGCGGAACTTCAAATTTTATGCATTTAGACAGAGGCACACCTCATTGACTCAATTATTTCATTGACAAGTTGCTTTATTCTCTGTTGGACCTGGGCATCAGTTTATCAGAAAGGAACTCTATACGATGTACCATTTATATTAGTGAGATCAGGTGGTTTGATTTCTGTGCCTAGCACACATCATGGTGGCAGAACTGATGTGTTTCTACAAGAAAACATATGCAAAGTGGGCCCAAAGCTCAAACTATTATGTTTCAGTTTCAGTACTAATGAAAAGTCTTTAGAAAAGAGATGAAGTCTTTAACTTTTGAAATTGAGAAAACAAATCTAATCTGGAAAAAATAAAAGAAAAGAAAAGAAAGAAAGAAAGAACGAAAACCCAAAAGTTGCCACATGAGATTCTAAAATTTGATGAACTGCACTGTAGAAGGAATTTCAACAAATCTATTTGTTAAGAATGATTAAAAGAAAAGAAGAAAAAAAAGAAAAAAAAAAGGGGGGATTTTAATGTCTGTCCAACATTTGAAAAAGATCTCCATGTTGAAGTGAAATACTTTATGAGATGAGGGTGCGAGAATTTCAAGGCTGTGCAAATTACAATTATTTGATGATCTACGTTAAGCAACTCTAATTGGGTGTCACCTTTTTCATCTTCGTATAAATGCAGATATCTTAAAACCAATCTAAATTTAATCAATTATTATCAGTCTCTTTTTTCTAAGTTTTTAATAGTTTATCATTAGTCTTTCATGCGAAATGTAGAATTGTATAGAAGAATCACAAATGATCATGTGTACTTCTATTTTAATTTTAAGAAAAATTATAGCCCTAAAAGATTACACAATTTTAAACCAAATCATAGATACTACATATGAAATATTAACCAAATACAATATTTTTTTGTTATATTGAGGTAGAGGTTTATTGATAGAAAAATCATATAGTCTTTCATGTAATATTTGCAAAAAGCATTGTAAATAAAATCTTACCAACAATAAATTCAATCAACAACAAATTTGCATGAGGTCAAATATAACATGGACAATGGTATCAACAGAAGTAATATTTGAATTTTGATATTTCTTTATTGAGTGGGTTTTTGTTGATAACATTTGATCTTAACTTTTATCAAAACATTCATTCATTACTATTCTTTCAAATGCTGAAACGAAAAAATATTGAAAGAATAACTGTAAAACATTTCATAAAATAATGTGTGAACAATCAAAAGCAACAACGTATGGTCTTCACAACATTGCTACAAAACATGATGAAATATTGAAATATTGAATGCTGTGGAAGTGATGTACTAAACATAATAATAATAATAATCATGAGAATAAAAATTAAATCTAATCAAGATATAGGAACACATAAGTTCCAAATAGCAGATTGACTAAGAATCCTTAATTTTCTGTAATTTTTAAAAAAATTGTTCTTAAAAAAAAATTAAGTCAAATATAATAACACTGCTCAAATTAGTTTAGGAAAGCCTTTATGACAAACGATACTTTCGAGGAAGCTCACATGGTTCATGTTGCTTGTAAGGAAAACCTTGTGGATACAAGGTGCTTCTAAGGTGTTTTCATATATGTTCATATTTTATTTACATCAAATTGTATAGCCCATAATAACTTACAAAATGCTTAAAATATAACATGCAGATTTCTTTAGAAACCTCAACATGCGTGTGTGTGTGTGTATACATATATATACTGATAATTAGTTATTTACAATATAGACTTAGAAGCACATGAGTAACATATTGGATATTTAATGAGTTAAATTTAATTGTTGTAATCTATGAAAAGGTACTCAGAAAGGTTATGTAAATTATTAAGTATAAGCAAGGATTATAAAAAGTAATTAAGCATGAAAATATATTCAAGTTCACTAGACAGAGCATTATTTTTATCAATATTATGCTGCAATATATACATATTTCAAACTCATGTACAAATTATAAAACATAATATCATATTGCTATCAATATTATTAGCACTTGAATGTCTTTGATTTTATTATGAATTGGCTGCATGAAAGGGTGAATTAATTGGATTAATTAGGTTGTAAATATAAAAATTTCATCAGAATCAGTGATTATATTTCATGATTTAACTGATATTATTTCAAATTTTTGATCCTTTGAAAATTGGTTGAGAGGCATCAATAACAGAGAATTAGTTGAAAGAGAACCCTTTAAAGAATAAATGCGATCCGATTCTCTTCTAGTAGAATAGACCCCATTCACACTCCTTATTGACTCTTCATATTTGTCTAAAACAAGATCCAAAAGCAGTCAAAAAATGGCTCCCAATATAAATCTTCTAGAAAATTTACTTGCTCATCTTGTAACAAAATAACAGTTATCTTTGACTGTTTCACAGATGTCACGCTCACCTTTCGTAGCATTTCCCAAATTTTGATGCTCTGGTCCTTTTTTGTGACACTTCTTATCGAAAATGCTGTAAGGAAGAGTACACTCTACATATACACCAGCCAGTCACTAGTAGAGCTTCTCTACAGATGCAGTTATTGTAGCTCAAGTTCAATATCAATGCTAAGACAATCGGGAACACGATCTAAACAAATTCAACGAGAATGCCTCAATCAAACAATATTTTAACGAACTGTCAGTCTTTGGAATTTGGAACTGCACATTTCAGACGTTAATCTGTGTGTAGAGCATCCAGTGGTGATTTTAACGCAGTTCAGGAATATGGGGTGGAGCCACAAAATGTGCTTTGGTTAAGAAATGATCTATTGAATATGAGAGTTGAGTTTGACTTACTGAGTGAAGATCTTGCAGTCTAAAGATCCTACACCATGTCAAAATCGTGTTTAAGCAATCCTTGTAGGTTCTAGTACAAGTAGGTTCTAGGTTAGTTCTAACTAGAAATGCCCATTTGACAACCATAGAAATGGTCGTCACATCCCGCTACAAGACCTTGAAGCAACAGCTGGTAGCAATGGCAAACAATTGAAGGTGTCGCTCCAGTGGAAATAAAACTGCAACGGAGACACTGTTCAAGCTTAGGACAGCATAAGACATAACAATGAACCATGGCAGGTAATATTAGAGCTATGCCTAGTCTTGAGTCTAAGGTGTTGGTTATTTGTTAGTATGCTCATTTCCCTTTCCATCCTGGTCGTCGCTCGAGGGGTAAAAGAGCATTTGTTATCTTCGTCTTCTCGAGGTCGTCTTCCAAAGCAATGGGTTCGTTCATTCGGGTTTTGATGCGCACTGGGTGAGCTTCAGTGTTGAACACCCATTCGTCGAGTGGAACCACCGTGGAGGGAGAAAACAGGAGGTAAAGATACTTGAGCGTCTCTGCCAGAAAAAAACTCTGCATCATGTCGTCCTTTTCGCCTGTGTGGACCTGCACACGCACAAGTACAGATGAATGAAAACTTCAAAATCGAGATAACTCAAAACAAATCAATGCCAAAGCATCTTTTTGTCATGTTAAAAGACAATAATTCAGGACTGCCACACAGCTCTGTAAAATATCAAAGTTGATGCAAGGTAAGTGTGAAGTTTGGTGCTCTCACAAATGAGGAATGCATGGCCAGGTTCTAGACTATCATTATCTTGTTCATTTGTTTGCTATGTGCTGTTGCACCCAAAAATAGACAGCAGGGATATGAAGAGCTACTTACATTTCTTAAACCAACGTAGCCCGTAGATGTCCGCGATTGAGCTTCAAAGGCTTGGAATATGTTCCATCCCCAATCCCGGTACTTTTTATTACCAGTCTTGCGCCATAAATACATGAGGGACTCGATAGTTTCGGGTCTCAGAATGTTCCAAGAAACCCCAACTTCCATCCCCTATTCCCTCCCACATATCCATGTTAGTCTCTCTGCCATCACGTGTCCACGAAGCTGACGTCTTCTAAGAAGAACAAAACCGAAGAGCACATCACACTATTGTAAGAAAAACATACTGAAGGTGACAATAAATGAGACTGCACAACCTAATGAAACTCGTGACACTTTGAAAGAGCTAAGAAACACATCGAGGAAACAGGCTCACCCCATTGTTAAAGTTGTAACTTTCCCCAGCCAGCTTCGAATGTGTTGACATATACATGTTGTAACATGTATTAGCGAGCTGCAAAATAAAGCTAAAAGCCGTGAGAATAGGCCCTCAAGTGACCATACAAACATGAATATACAATATTGTCAGCTTAAACACGTTCAGGGATGACTTGAATACATGCATACATACATACATACATACAGACAGACAGACAGACAGACAGACAATTTTGATAAAATCGCCACAATGCCGACAAGATGTTGAGATTCACCTCTTCGGCAAGGTCCAAGTACTCCTTGGCTTTTTGAGGAGATGCACCGTCTGTGCCAAGTACCAGCATCCCTGGGGTGAAACACGCCAATTCGTCCATCTGCAGAACTCACATTCATCAAAGAAGCCATAAGTTAAAAAAACACTTTCACAGATTGAGAAAATACTCAGGTTTAACGATTGATACCTGTACTAAAAAAATAAAAAATGATGCGTGTTACAAGACAGGAACACTACCACAGAATAGATGAACGCCTACATTATTCAAGTCAAAGCATTCACTTTATCCAAACACAATAGACTACCTTGTGTATCAACTGATTGCCACTTCGTTCCGCAAGATATGTGTAAATAGGAGGATTTGAGGTTTTCTGAACCAGGCTCTTCATCATACCATCTATGGATTGGTCCCACATCTCCCTGCACAAGAAAAAATGATATTTTAGCACATGCTGCAGAAAAGAATTCACATCACTTAATATCTTATGTTCATTAATTTTAACACTTTTCATGTTATTAGAAAATATCAAAAAATAGTTCGAAGAGCATGCTACGTACCTGTAGTGCTTTACAACCTCCGTTTTATTTCCCAAAATCCAAACTTTCAAGAGATACTCGTAAAAGCTGGCACATCAAGCACAGCTGAACAACGTCAACACTTTGCCATCGACTTTGAGTTTAATTGCCTCCGAAACCAATAGGTAACTACTCTTGATTCTTATAAAGTGTCAGCATCAAATATTGATCCAATTCCAAACCCGGGTTTAAGTATACATGATGATGTAGATGCCGGTACCTGTCCCCCATGGCTCCAAACGTTACTTTGCCATATGAAGGTTGGCCGGAATCAGGATTGACATAATAGGATAAAAGACCGTCATTTGGGAACACCTTTCTCAGCTGCTTAATAACCTTCTCAGCCTGTAAACAGGATGTATGCAATGATGGTTTTACAATCAAGTCTTCACAAGGAGAGAACATGCCTACATTAAGAACTGTACATACGGTTAAGGCAACACAGTGCAAGAACTAAAAACCTTTTCTTTGTAATGTGGTACGCCAGTCCGTTGTGTCAATGCAATGAGCTCCACCTGCTCAGTCCCTAAATCGGCCAATATGCTTTGACCCTGAACAGAAGGTTGTTCATTTTATGAGACTCCTCACCAAATCAAACAACCACGAGGTACAGTGCTGAAATCACATCATAATTAGGAGATTTGGGTGTCATTAAGGAACTGGGTCAAGAAAGGTAGTTAGATCATACCCCGCTCCAACTCGGGTTACTGGCATGTCCGGTTGCCAAGTTGATAATGTTGTAAGGGATGCCTGAAGGGCTCTCCCATGCAGGCATCAACCGGTCTGCTATTTCTTGTGCTTTCCTTAGGAACATTGGTTCGCCAGATAAGTCGTACGCACTCAGCAACCCTCCCAAAACTCTGAGGAATACAGTACACATGATAAGTAGAATTGAATCAATATCTACAAAACAGAAAACACTCGCTCAAGTAGCTTGAGTACGTGTTTAGTAACCATTACTAATCCCACAGCCAAGAGCAACTCTTAGTTGAGTTCCATCATATCAATGAACAGCAATCTCAGTACCCAACAGCATTGGCACGAATTAATTTCAAAACTGGCCATATTTGTAATCTGGACGCAACAGTTTGCTGTAAGCTACCCAAATCAACCATCTCGCAAGTTCTCGTGAGTACCTGATGGTGGTCTCAAAAACACTAGTTTCCACGTGTTTGTTGAAATCTAGGTTTTCTGCAACCCAGCTAAAACATGATTCAACCAAATGATCAAATTTAGTGATAGAGCTAGGCAAAATTTGAGTACGGTTCTAGATCTAAAGTATTTAATATGTATAAATGACATCTTGATTGATTATCAAACAAAAGAAAACACGTTCCCCACGTACTGGTCTCGACGACTTACTCTCTAGCTTTTATGAATTGTTTCTGCAAGCCCATGATAAAGAGCGTATCTAAGGAATCTACAATGGTTGCTCCAAGTCCTGCAAACTGGTTCACTCCAGTCTTGGATTGTGGCTACACACATTCAATAATCAAACGAAATCAAGCTATCAGAAAGAAAAACAACAGTCAGATGTCCTATCGTTCTGATTGGTCAATACCCTAAATTACTTGAAAAGGAAGCTACATCCTAAACTGGAACATTCTAACACAACTTTCAGAGAATAGCAGATCAGTCATGAGTATGTGTCAGGAGTATAGACCTTGAGCTCATCAAAGCCCCATGCATATTTCTCATAACATGTCCATGCGTGTAGCATAGCATCCTTAATTTTATTACGCCTTTCAGCCGCAACTGGATCTTCATCAACACCAGCCAATCCCTCCTCACTGCTAATGGTGTCACTCATCTCCTGTTCCTGTGATATTAGCTCCTGGGGTAGAACTTCACCCTTCTCCTCCAGCATTTTTGTAAGATCCTTAAGCTGTAATACAGTTAAAACTAATGTTCAGTCGAGAGGGATGTGTCACGAGCATAACTTATTCATGCAGTAGACAATTCCAGACAAAGGTTCCGATGAAGCTCGTGATCTTGATCGGATCCAGAAGGAGTCAAAGATTAGGAAGAAAGCTCAATTGCAATGAGCCACTTTGGCACACTAAGTCAACTCAGCAATCTTGGAAGAAACCTTTTAGAATATTCTGATTTTCAACAGTACAATTATTTTGAAAGAAACAGCTCTTCAAATGCTCTGAAATCCGAGATATGAAATAATAAAATGGTCAAACGGTTTGACTCCGCACCGAATGCTGTAGTTTGTCATTCTCTCGAGCTAGCTTTCCAACAGTCTCCTGCATTAGTCACATTTACACAGGAATTAGATTGATGCATTCAACACACTTGTCTAGCTATTAGCAGCCTCAGGGATACACAATGCAACTTAATACATTCGAAACATTCAAACCCCTGAAGAAAAAAGATTCGTCATATTTTAGATAGCTTCCGAAGGATTCACATGCCTTCGAAATGGAGTACTCTAGACTCTGGAAATCTGTTAGGGCTACACACAATGGTGGTAGGAAACGATTAAGCCGAAGGTTTTCAGATTAGCGTACCTCGTGATGCAGGACAAGATTATGGCGATCCCATAGGAAGAACGTGGTGCACACGAAGAAGGCAAACAGGATCAGAAGCCGCCTCGGTCGCCGTAGGTAATAAGTTGGGTTCAAATACCGAGGCCACACCGAAGATCTTCGACTCTGAATTGCCATTTTCTACGGCTACACCGTCTGATTACGAAAAATAAGGTTACCAAGCATTCATAAAGATGCCGCAATCTTCATCTTAAATGATCTTTGAAGGCTGGAAGGGGTTGCAGTGAAGTCTTCAAGTGTACCCAAATTTTTCTAGAGAGTTTATAATAGAAGGATGCCAAGAGCCGTGAGCCAATCGCATGGGTAGGGCTCTTTTGACCTAATGCACAAACGAGAATATCAAACCGATGAGATCGAGATTGAATGTGCACGACTTCAATATGCTTCCGCAACACGTTACTACGAGCACCTGCTGCACCGATCAACAAGTCGTTTTTATGGCTTCCCCTTCTAAAAACTGTGGAGAACTCCGCGTGCGTCAAGCTAAGAGGTTTAACCCTCACAAACAAATATCAAAGAGATGAATATTCTTTGAAAGAAAAACAATAGAAATAGACAGATTCCTATCACAAACCCAACTCAGCTGAGAGCAGAGTCCAAATCCGCAAATCAGAGCTTTGATCATTCAAAAATAAAATAAAACAAAATAGATTGATCCCCTGAAGCTCTACCCTTATAATACTGGTGGGTCTGATCTGCATAAGCGAATCTAGAGCAGCACTTGATTGTTAACCCTACTTTAGCGCCACCTGACTAATGAACCAACACTCCCACCATTAAGAGAAACGAAAATACCGCCGGCTTGACCGACAGGCACTCGTGCGTGCAACCACATTCCTGCGATCACAAAAAATGACGCTGAAACGCTAATAGGACAGTTTTTGCCAATGGCCCAAAATGAAAACTTAATAATACAGGTCTCCGGGCTACCAACAGTGTGCTGAGAAGCAAAACCCAGCTCCAAAATCCCCCACAGAAAAATTCACAAACCTCAACCATTCTTCAACTCTCCAGGTTTTGGTCAACACAAGGAAAAGTCTGGCCATTGAGATAATTTACGTCTGATAGGCCCCGATGTTGGTTAAGTGAGTGTCTAATAAGGATTAAAACGTTTTTACTCCAGTATCAGACTTTATCGTAGCCCTGGATTCTAAATCGAGCTAAACTGATTTCGAGGAGTGTTGGAATTAACAAATTCTTAAGTATGGTACGTCACTGATGCATCATGAGGTGGGATGTTCAGAAGACTGCAGAATTTCGATTCATCATGGTAATTCATGAACGACGCAGTCTGGATAGTAATTCCGTGCTCAACTTACAGACGTTCGACGATTGATCGTTCTTCGGTTCCCACACTGGTCAGATCAGTCAGGTGGAAACTTCGGATCTCGGAAGACATATCGATATTTGTGATTATAGATATAGATAAATATATATTTATATTTTGAGAACGTTGTCAGCAAAAGGTCACCAGATTTGGAATCAGTTCATGATCTCGTTTAGAAAGCCGTAGTTGGAATGTGATGCTGATGATAAGAACCATTAGCCTCATTGAGATTTGGGGTGCAGTGTTTAGGGTTCGTAATACAGGGTTTGTGTGAATTCTGTGCAATATAATAGCCATTCTGTTCCCATGCATTCTGCTTGGAGCATTGCAACACTGGTGCCGAGCCATGGAGTATTTCAGCGACAGACAGAACGTCGTGGCATCACAGCCTTGGAGAAATCTTCGGCATCCCTCGTAGCTTGTGTTGAGAACCAGGCACAGAAGTCACGGCAGTGGTGTAGGGCACAGTGCATGAGCATGGGGTCTAACGTGGTTCCAAGCATTGGTCAGCGACTCGGCTCCTCCCTTACCCTACTGTCGCTCAGGCTCGTTTGATTGTAAAATTGTGGAGGATTAAAGAAATGGGTCATATGCTGATCGTGCCGAGAGCTGGAATCTGTGCAGGAGTGGAGGGGTTCGGCAACACCGTTCAAGAAGGTGCGGTAGAAGGGACACGAGAGCTGCGAAATGAAGCGGACTTTGCAAGTATCGCCAATACCGACGGGGAGATTTCAATCTGCGGGTTCGGATCGCTACTTTCAGGTCTGTGGAAGTCGGCCTTGATGTGGCGCTCCATCCCGGTGCCAATTACCATGTGACTAATCTCAACTTGCCATATGCGTGCCAGGGTCTGATGAATGATTGTGTCCATCTCACGGATTGGGTTTGTATTGTGGGAGGAAGAAAAAAGTGCACTCTACACGTTTCCCAACCTCCGGAACTTCAGAGTAGGTGTGCTGCACGGTTTTCGTCGGGTGTTTGCTCATGTCGCTCCAGTGTTTCTCGATCGAGGGATTGCCAACATTGAGACGAAGGTCAATCATAAGATCCCGTTACTCACAATTTCTAGTATCACAATTGCCTGAAATTTGCTCGGAATGTCTCCATATCATTCAAAGGTACCGTAAATTTTCCCAATTTTCAAACAAGACTATGTTAACATTCTGTTTTTGCAGTCTAAATTTGACGACGTGATGCTCTGCAGGAATTGTCGAGTCTAAGTGTTGAACCATGCGTGGGAGAGTCTATCGTAGTTACTGTCTTCGAAATATCAGTCTCTGAGGTAAGTTAGTCTTGGTTACTAGACTATCAGCATTCTAATTTTATGATGTTTAGAATCTCAACTTCGATAAGCGAATGGTGCAACTAGACTTCGATATCATACATGTTCCAAGGATGAAATAGTTTGTTCACCTTTTCGATGGCTATTTGCAGGTCCCTGCATTTATTGAAAGAGAACATGAGTTTCGGTTTCTTGCGGTGGGTAATGTTTTTCACAAATGTTTTCTATGCATTCAGCACAAGTCTGTAATGTTTCAAATTGAGCTCAAGGTTAAGGATTTAAGAATATGTTTAGCATCGACCTGATGTTGCAGGTTACCGTTGAGGATAAAGAAGGACAGCCCTTCTCTCAGCAAGCTGTGAGTGCTCACTCCAAATTTTCTGCACTACAATTGAGCGCAATCGTTGTGAACATTTTTAAGATGATGGTATTTTGATTTGGAACTGGACTGTATTGAATCAGGTCATCTGTGCAAGATACAGTGATGAAGAGTACCGTCGCATTCGATGTCAAGGTATGAAGTTTGATATTGAGTTCATCACATTCAAAGTTCTGATTATTTCGTGAGTGTCGTGCCTTTTACAGTAATTTATCATTCGCCGGCATGAATGATACTGTACCCAGGAAGTAGCGAGGAATATTACAGACGTTATGGACGACATAAGATTGAGCAAATATGGCGAGATGACATATTCCCTTGTCGTGTCTACCTTCGCCACTGGTATGCCTTCACTCCATGAGGGATTGATTGCTTCAACTTCACGACTTAGACCTTTTATTACACGCTTGTTAACTGGCGTGCATTCATTTGTTATGTAGTGTTCTAGCGGCTAAGAATCTGGGCGAGGACGCATACGAGAGCTTCTTGGATCATACGTACGTGGCTGATAGGCGCACAACAATTAGAACATACTTCAAACACGGTTTAGGGGTTGGCATAATGAACGAGAAGCCACCTGAAGCATTGCGTGAGAGATATGGCGGATAGTTCACTCTTTAACAATCGTAGTTGTGTCGAACAGTACATCATATCGGTGACAGAGTTGATGTAGTGCGTGTGACAACTGTCTTTCGGGAATAATAGTTAGCGATTTGTCATTTGTAACAATTCTATATCACTTTGTTTATTTCGTACAACTTGAAGTGTATCGTCCGTGCGTACACGGTACATCGAAGACATTTAATCTCATGAAAATGTTTTTACTCTCCGTTGGCTAATCTACCTGTAAACGCTTGCTTTACCTCCCTTTCTGTACAAAAAGAATGTATGTAGATAGTACATACTCTATAATGTTACAGCTACATCAGGCTCACAGAGTAGCCACATGACAAAACGCATCACTAGGAAATCGATGAGACAGGCTCATGCACATAAAAAAACATGTACGCCTCCCTCACGTTGGCCAGAACTGAGTCTTCTGATACCTATCGATGAGCAAACTCACAAGTCAGTAAACCTCCAGAAGTTCGTCGGCTTCCTCTATGCAGACAACAAAGAACTGAGCTAACGTATATACGAAGGTGGTTAGATGAACTTACGTCAGTGACAAATGAATCATCGCATCTGAGCCATCTGTCACCTTCGGGATCATAGGTATCAGCAAAGAAATGACCACCTGAAGCGGTGAACCCCAAATGGTTCACAACCCCATATAACCGGTAGTTGGTACCTACATCTGCATTTGTTCTCAACGGAGCATGCAACTCTTGGGATTCACAGTCGATATTTCCTTGACTGACAATACCGAGCCCATTCTGTGTAGAACAGGGGGATGCCACCGATTCTTTTCTTTCAAAGTTCTGGACATCGTCACTAACGGGACTCCAGAACTTCTGTTTGTCTGGAGCACACCATGGTCCTGTAGGTGGGGAGAAGAAAAACTTAAAAATACGAATATTTTCAACCGAGGTAAAACGGTAACTCCCAAGTCCACTAAGGGGTACATGTTCCCCACACAAACAGTGCCAAGCGGCAGTATTTGGGGGACATTAATTTCCTCGTACTTGTGTCGCGAAAATGGGAAGAATGGAGAAGGCACATTTTGTGGACAGAAGGAAATGCAAGCATGAATAACACGGGAGAAGAATGAGGTCGTACCAACATCAAGCCGAGGGGTGAACTTCACAGGGGCTGTAACTTTAGTGCATGGAACGTCACAGTCCATGTGTAAACGCTTCAATTGGAGCACCAACACATGAGGTAGTTTCAGGAATTGAGCCTTGGCCTTTGTAACCTCTACACCACAGTCTTCACACTTACGAGACATAGTGATCTCCTGCAATTAAATCATGTAGACATTAGACACATAAAGGAGTCGAATGAGTTAAAAACAGTAGAACAGCTTGTGATAGAGAAATGTCAATAGTTGAAGAGCTGACCTTGAGAGGACAAAGGAAACACACCTGAAAATATAGATTCAACAATGATTCCAGACTGCAATTCTTAGATGCATGGGTTCTGCAGACATTATCACACTGACACGAATTAATTCCTCAAATTTTCAAAACAAACGAAAAGGAGTGAAAACTTGAAGTTGGCACACAAATGCGCAAGAGGATGCAAGATTACCTCTCATCTTCTGGCAATGCCAGGCAGAAGTCTCGGTAAGTTTCCTCCAAGGATGATACTTTCCCACATCCAGTGCACGTCAAACTATTCCTTACTGAACAGCTGCAAAACCACAGGATCAACCGAGTAGGCGCATGATGCTTAGGAAATGAGCAAAATCGCAGACATACCACTGGAAGGAAAGCTTTACAAAAAGTCTAATTAAACCTCACGAAAGTTGCGGATACGAGAACTCACCTGAAGTTCTGTGTTGTTGGACACACGGTATCCAGCTTGGGCTGATTGGCATCTATTGGGAACTGTCTCTTGAGTTCAGAAGAAACTTCCTCTTGAACACGATCAATCAGGCTACAAAAGAATTCGTGCGCATCCTGGAGAACGACACAATCGAAAAAGATAAGTCAACAACCCAAGGTATCGTAATATAAGGCATTGACGGACATAATTTAAAAGCAATATCGCCGCTAGACATGCCAAAGCTGAGTTCCGTATAGAAAAGCAGAACCTGCTGAATGCAACCCCAGAAACTGGATTGGTGCTTCGCAAATGCATGCTTGACAACAGAGGGATTCACATATTCGTATCTTCCAGCTTGCTTCAAGTCTCGGAAGACTTTAAGCAAGGCAGCATGTACACTTTCGGCATCTTGGTAGGAGAAAGGTTCGGAGCCCTACAAAACATGCAGGAGTAGGTTACAACGATTAGGAGGAGCACAGGAGATAGAGCACTGGGTCCAAAGTAACATGAGCAAATTCTTAGCTATCGATGTGCCTAAACATCGGGCAAATGATAAGCTACAACGGCTTACAGCTAGAATCTACTGCCCATGAACAGTAGTCGGCAAGGATGAAAGATTGATTTAGACACGTTTGTTGATCAGACGAACAACACTTGCCTCTGAATGATTCTGCTTCACATGCAGACCAAAAAAACGCTCCATGCCATCCACAAAACTAGATGTGTTGTAAAGACATTGAATGATAACATTCATGTAGCAGGTGTTCCCAAGGTTCATCAGTCTGAAATACCAATAATAGAGGCAACGATCAGTGCGAACTGGAATGAAATTTTCGAGATACTTACAAATTCGAGGTGAAAAAAAAAAAAAAAAAAAAAAAAAAACGGCAGATAACAATTCGAGGGTTAGAAGGGAGAGTCACCCGTGCATCCTCCTAGGGCTAGTCGGAATGAAAGAGAAAATTTGGTTTTCAAACCCAAGAACTTGAGTTTCCGAGTCCCCGAGCAGTGCGTAAGAGGTCACCACATCCATATTATTGGTAGTGGCAGAGGAGCCGTAAAGATCACTGCAACGTGCGATAAGCACATTGAGTGATACTTATGGAGATGAAGTGTTAAATAAAATGACAAAAACACTCTGCTCAAAGAAGAGATGTACGACTGTTCAACACCAGTTGCATAACAGGAAAGAGATCACAACGACTGGTATTAAAAACAGCTGCTAGGTTCACCTTTCCTCTCGTGCTTTCGGGGGTGACAGAAGTTGCCTTCTGACAGGTTGCAAGATGTCCATTACCGCAACTTGCTCACCGGTGGGCATCAATGCCTGCGATTCAGAATTATCCTTATCTCCCACTGAGAGACTCTTGGGTGCAAACGCTGGTGGGGGTAGGGGAGGCGGCGATGCCTCCTTGGTCACTTGCCGTCTACCAAACGACCTCAGAGAAGGTGTCGGCGGTGTTGTTCCAGTCTTTGACCTTTTCCTATACACATGTGTCCCCCCTTTAGATGTGGGTTTGGCTGGACTGGCAGTGGTCCAGTCGTTGTCTACTCCATCATGTTTAGAGGCATCGAGAACAGACAAAGGAGCTCTCGACTCATCCTCATCCAATTGTCTCTTTCGGATATCAAAGATAGAACGTTTGCCTCCTTCCAGTTCAGGCGTAACCACGGCAGGACGAGAAATTTCTGAAAACAAGATATACAAACATGATGTACAAGCACCGCTGGTGTAAAAAGGCAGAGGAAAAGCAGATGCAGTGCTAGTTCGGTGGAAGGAAAAACATTACAACGTGATAAATAACTACAAAACACCTGTAATGCAAGAAAACCATACATCAGGGACATAGAGAAATAAAAATGGCCCACAATAAACAACTGATACACAGCGATTTAGACTGTAATCGCAACTAGATCATCACACATACCATCAACTAGAATAATATCCGTCACCAGTGCCTACATTGAATGTGTTTTAGGATGCTGACATAACAAAAATATAGTTAACAAGACGATTCAGCAACTCACGACATCATTCAAGGGAAGGTTGAGGAAACTACTTGGGCAGTCCAAAACAGATGTGCGCATCGGACTTAATAAAATAGGGTAACAAGAATGCACACCTAGAGTTATTTTTTGCTGGGTCGGCTGCTTTTTCTGAAGTGCTGAGAGAACCATCTGTCCACCTCGCCCTGAAATTCAAGCGAAGAATGTAAATTATTAACACAAAATGTTGCATAGAAGCACCATTGCCTTAAGAAAATGTTAGGAAGAAAAGAACAAACACGTCTAGCTGCACACATAAAACGAGCAAGGAAAACGCTCTCAAAACCCACGATTCAGAAATACTCGAATCTAAATGCACTCATACAAAAAAACTGAGTTCTAACTCGTACCAGCCGTGTTCTTCGAATTATTAGGGTCGTCTTGAGAGGATTTTTCGAGGCTGATTTGCAGCCTTTTCGAAGTCCGCCGCTTCGCGGGAGATACTGAGAAGACTAAACAAAACCCATGTAAAAACCCCACGCCCAAATGACACAATTTCCTGGGCCATCGTCGCCTGCTTAACTCATTTCCTCCCACAACCCAGAAAACACGTAACAACACTATCCACTGAAATGACACTCTCGTCACCTTCAAACAGGCCTAAAAGCAACAAACCAAAACAAGGAACCCACAAAACACAACAAAGCACTTACCAATCGTGTTGGGATCCTGGTTCTGTCTCCCATCAGCGACCGTCCGCCGCTGTTGCATATTCACCACTAGACTCATTTTCTCTGGAACCCCTTCACACCAACAACCCCTTCAAAACTCGCAAAGGCAGTCTGTAGTGCCCCTCTGTGCTGCTTCCAGGCTCTAAAATCTCTCGAAACCTGTCACCATTCCCAAAATTACCAGGCCATCTCACCCTCAACCTCCTCTTCATCCACACCCCAAGCCCAAACAAATTCTCCTCCTCGCCTCTCCCCCACTGGCTTCACAGCGCTCTCTACGGCGGCCCACGAACTCGAGCGATACAGAGCTTCCCGGTGCCTCCGCAAACGCAAACCCGAGCACATTTGAAAAAAAAATAAAAATAAAAATGCACCCACAATCGAGAGGCGCTGCTCGCAACGATCACATGACAAGCGGAGTGAGCTTGCTCGATCGAAATGGAGCAGTCAGCTGCCACTACCGAAGCATTTCCGCCTCCGGAAGTCATAGTCGTCGCCGGTCCCGCCATATCCTCTTCCCGCGCTCCACGGCAGCCGGTCGCACCCATTATATACCCGGGTCTATACCCGGTATCGTCGTGGCCGGTTCCTGGGCCGATGTGGACAACGGCCTTCTGGGGACCTGCCATAGGCGGTCGCCCGTGCGGCGCAGGGTCCAAGGAATCCTGCGTGCCGGTGGTTGGTTTGAAAGCACCCTCTCGCCACGGTGGCCGGGTGAGGGCTCGCTAGAATGTTCCCCAAGAGGATCGCGTTCACACCGGACACGAGGATGACTTGGTGGGAGGGGAGCGAATTGAGGGTTAGTAAGTCCTTCGGAGCTCAATAAGTTTATAAGTAAATTCACATTCATGTTCTTTCAATACAACAGAAATGGGGACTTTTATTTTGGATAATAGAATAAAATAACTGAACTAAAACTTTTGTATTTTTGTAAAATTTGAATTAATATATGAACAATTATTGTACTTCTTTGCACTTAAATTTCATATTAGTGGGTTTTCATTAGGTCTAATTAGTGTTCTAAAATTCTAAATTTTATAAAATAAAAAATAATCAAAAAAATATAGAGCTAGCTTTTCAATGAGGTCTATTTGTAAACTTTGAAACGACCAATAATATATGCACAAATATGTGTTTTTAATATGTATCTCCTTTTCCATGAGATAAATCTAAATCCTACTTTAATAATGTATTATCTTGTGAGATTGGATAATTGCACGATCACTCGCTTGTAGTTTGGACACACAATGTTTTTTGTATAATAGGTTATCAAGAAGATGTAAAAGAATGGGTGCAGTTTAAATTTTTGGCGGTGGTTTTTACTCAATAAAAAATAAATACCATTAATTATTTATGATGACCTATATATTAATTTGCCATTGGTATTTTCTAATATTGTGAAGGTCTTTGTGCAGAAAAGTACTGTATTCCTCATTTGGTACTGTAAATTACATTTTTCTACAAAGGCCACTTTTTCGTTGATTTTCAGTTGTCAATCTCAAAATTAACGAAAATAGTATCATTGAAATGGTTTTAAGTTAAACTTGCAACCAATAATGTTTTCTATCTTTATTTTTATGTTTTTTCCTTGTTAATTTATTTCACATGGGAATGGTTAGCCAAGTAGAAAAACATCTCAAAATTAATCATCACATGGTTTGGATATCTTGAATAAGTAATAAACCACACCCCAATGTATTACTTATTCAAGATTTCCAAATGCACTTAATGAATTAATTTTTTTTTGACAAAAATAAAATTTTATTATTTTCTGTAAATTGACTTGAAATTTCTTAAACATATTGGTTTGTTAAATCCATGGATTGTAATTTTTCTGGCTTATTTTGTAATTGATACTTCTGCCTTCTCAGGTCTTACATCATCTAATTCTTCGATATTAGTGTTATGTCTCGACTCATACAGCTATAATTTGATATTTTCTAGACTACAAATTTTTTTTCTTGACCCTATTTATGTTTAACTTGCACAGAAATACTTTGAAGGAACTTGAAAATATATTTCCACCATTTATTATGTCAAGATCCTTTGGAGATTAACATTGAACATCAACCTTTGCATGCAGCACTCACGTAGCATTTCCTTTCAATCAACTCATGATTTCCTTTTATTCAACAAATGTCTTAATTTTCTATTTTGAAGCATTTCAAAATATTTTGGTAAAAAATAAAAGTGTACTGTTACAGTTTTCAAATGACTCATGTTAAGACCAATTGATTGCAAAATCAATTCTACTTTGATGTGCCTTCATATTAAGACATGTAGTTTTATATGACTTTCTAAAAAGTCACATCAATATTTTCAAAAAGCCATAATATTTTAAATTTATGTTATTAATCCCAAAAAATTAACTAATTTAAAAGAACTCTTTTGGTCCCAATAAATCTAAAATGATTCTCAACATGGCATGTACATTCTCAAACAAGACAGGGATTTACTTTTCGAACTCGATTATCAATCTCGGTTAGGGCTGTATTTGATGGCAAGAATCATAAGTAGGATTTAGAGTATCTTGGCAAGTTATTTCCAAAATAAAAATAACACAACATTCCCCAGTTCAAAGCATGACACTAAGTACAGTATTTCATGCATACAAGAATGAGACACAACATTCCACTGCCAGTGAGGGACATAACTGTCGGTAGCCTTTAGATGCTGATGTATCGCAGACACTCGAACAGCAACTCGTGTGCAAGATTAGATCCGACCACGATGGGATTCGAACCCACGACCTTCAGATCCGAAGTCTGACGCGCTAATCCACTGCGCTACGCGGCCAACTGTACAACACACACGTGGATAATTAACCAAGCTACAAATTTACGTAAATTCTCAAGGTGAACATTAGTTCTCGAATGCTTGTGACACAGACGAATTCATCATGCTCCAGACGGGTGGTAACAAATGTATCTGACGCTCGAAAACTTGGAAAGTGGCAATAGGGAATCGAAGAAGTTGCCGTTTTTCACCTGAATATTACCTGATCTTGAGGCTAGTTATGCTGATTTCCTGTTTTGACTTGAAGAAAAAAGAAACGGCGGAAGAGGCTTACCTGAAACGCAATACGTCTGCAGAATATGAAATGAAAAGAATACCGTTACATGTAAGACATGAAGGACAATTCACTCATAATGGAGATAAATGTCGAGAACTGTAGAAGCGGAATCAGGAAATGGCAAAAACACGCCATTTTAAGACTGAACCCATCACGACAGGATCTTCCACCGTCTCAAGGTTATGAATAACCTGCACAATGAAGATCCTTATTGGAGTCAAAAGATGGTTGTATCTTCAACGAAGTACTTCAATTCCGTGCTTGTATCCCTCGATTACGACTGATGCTCAAAAACCTGATAAACTGTCATTAGGTCAATCAGCTGCACTTTTAATTTAGTACTTGTCAGGTAGGCTTCTGAAAAGCATATCCTTGGGTAGAGGCTCTTACAAGGAACAATCGTCTTGCCTCGTATATGTGAATAACCAATATCAAACTTCAACCGTAATTATAAAATGCAATCCACCTGAATATTCCTAAAATTATGTGACGAACTAAATGGACACCTGAACTTCGTGGAAGTTCTCTCAGAAAAATACGCCTAAATCATGTAGATACCCATCTTTATCAGTTTCTTAAGACAAACAGCTCATCTCCTCAAGTAATGTACAAGCTTACCCCGAGATGTTCTACACTGTCAATCAAACAAAACTGAAATGTTGACAGTTTCCATGATCACACCAACCCATTGCAAAACTGCACCACAACAGCAACCGTAGCTTATACTAAAAACATCCACCATGAAGGTCGACTTCTCCACCTTCACCAGTCAGTTGGTTTTCAGATACTGCTACGAATACTAATGGGGAAGGCAAAGACATCGTGACACATGTATTGAACTAGTGTTAAATACTGCTAGCACTAGAGGAACATATAATGTACAAGCTTCTGAAGCTTACTAGATTACGATCATCTGCAAAACTTCAATTCCATCCTCAATTATACTTCAGGTGGTGGAGCGCATCCGATATTTAAAATTTTAGGATTAATATAACATTCTGTAGAGCAATGAAGATTCAAGATCTGTCAAATGCTTGCCCTCGTTATAAATCCCCAATCTGACCCAAGCAATCCTCTTCAACCTAACCGTGAGACAAAACATTATGTCACCAATCAACTCTATTAATCAAAATTGCATCAATTCAAAGCATTTACCTGACCAAAAACAGATGTTATACAGGCGCCCGTCTGCACCAACGGACCTTTCTTGTTCAAAGCCAACCCTTCGCCAATGGAATGTAAACTACCCAGTATCTGCTCGACATACATACAGAAATAATTGTAGGGAGCTTGTTTTTCGACTTAATAATCAACCAAAAAATCACTCATTTTTCATCATCAAAGAAGCCATCTAGGTAGTTGGTTACGGGTTCTTGTATCAACGTGAAAGACCATTCAGCAACAAGGCCCTCATTACAAAAACACTGGACATGAAACAAAACATTCACATGGTTCATTCATCGTCACATCAAAATATGATGTCTAATTGTCACCTGCCCTTCACCCTCAATTATAACTCCGGAACATCGATACCGTCAGGTTATCCTCATTCCACAAGTATCACTAATAACACCACTCTTTCTCGCATCGCTCAATTCTAACCCGACTTAGCTACAACTCATTATTAAAAACAGAGATTGGAAAAGATCACCGTGTACAACTCTGAACAACCAGAGCATGGCAAGTGCACTAGCACAGAACTAAATCATCAACGAACATGATCTACTCATTATGCCACATTTCCCACGACTTCGTGATCCAAACTCTCCATACCTGGATCCCAATAGCTCAACAAGAGTTCATCTTTACTATTGTGGGCTCCGGTTAGAGGAATTATAACCACATGGGCCCTCCGCCATTGACTCCTAGCATCGCTCCTCAACCATTCAGCTTCACCTTAGCCAAATAGAATCCGTTTTCCTGTAATCCAAGTCTTAAGGCAACTAAGAAAAAATTGGCCTCACTTTGTTCTGAAACCCGCAGGACTTGTAAGCAACGTGTAATAGCAACGCATACAGTTCCAAATCCCGATATCCATTTTCCAATCTAAACTGGCGATGAAATGATGACAAATGCTGGCGTGTCGAAGCAGGTTCTTGCAATGCCCAAGCACCCGCTCTGGCCAGGCATGGTAAAATCCCTAATCCCTTGAACCCATTAATGAACCCATCCCACTCTAGTAATGAAACGCTGTTAATAGAAATTTCAGGGTGCAGATACGGTAGCCGCCCATCTTAAGTGTCAGTAACAGTTCTTATGAATAGTTAAACGACTGTTCCTAAGAAGCTGAAGCCCCTAAGATTATTGTCCATGTCAACGGAGAACCAGATTCTTCAAAACCTTTTCTAAAATCCTCTGTTCACACCCGCATCCCATCGCATCTCTCGTAGCATGATTGAAGCTAAACACTGATCACCAAGGCCGTCTTTGTTACAATTTCAACCCCTACTTGATAAATCCCATCGGACACAATCATGAACCATCAAGACTACAATAATTGCTAGCACCGCTCAAACAAGCTGCCCTTTTCTTTTATCCCTCCTACACGTTCATCCCTCTTCGCCACGGAAATGAATACTCGTGGAACCCAGCGAGTACAAGATAGAAGAGAGAGGATATGAGACACAACACTAAAGTATCCAAGATCTGCCGATATGGAAGGGGAGGAATGTGAAATGAGGAGTTCAAGAGGGTATTCAGAGGAAACCAAGACGAAAGTCCATGAAAGATCTGATTTCCATAGAAGCGGTAGAGACTGATCATAATTCATCGCGGTAGTGTACAATCCACAGTTTGCCGTCGAAAAAATTACTGGTTGCTCATCCTTCATGAAAACCGACGACTGTAAAATTGTTGGGAAAACTTGTTCCAAGCTAATTGCAAAGCTAATGTCAAAGACCAAAGTGAAGCCAATAAACAAGAAGACGACGTCCATGTCCATGTTCAAGTAAGCATTGGAAACACCAAGTATTCCAACGATTATTATTCCTCCACTGCTCCAGCAGATGCGAGACTCTACAAATGTAGTTAATAAGTAAGAGCAATGGCTTTCGCTGCAGGAGACAGTTGATGCTTCTCCACATGTCTCAGCTAGTTACAAAATAGTCTTTGCAAGGCTAAAACTAAAAAAAAAAACACGACGCTCATAGCGCTTGTATACCTAAATCGACCAGGTCAAGACTACTTCATTCATCTTTGAAGTGCTGTGGGCTCACACAGTTGACAAGGGGCAGATGCCATGAGCTAGCACACTTACACAACCCTCATCAACTTAACCCACAGAAGATTGTGATTGCGGTCTACTCCCCCCTTAATAACGACCAGCGTAGGTACCGTTCTCCCTCTCTTCGTTCCACTTGTCAATCTGCAGTATATCTCAGATTAAAACTTGTTTTACCTGACAGAGTTCGAACACAGCATACCGACTTGGTATGTCACTCTACCTAAAAACGCAAGAATTTTGACCGAAATAATGGAACACGGGTCAATAATCTAGTGAATAGCTAGGTGGTGTTGACAGAATAGTGTACATACCCATTCACCAGGGCACAATGAGCGATAGTATCTGGCATACTTTTGGCACTCTTTCGCATCTTCACCCTTCTCAGCAGCACACCTGCAAAAATAAATTTCAAACAGTTAGCTTACACTGAGTGATTCTCTTAAGAGTTGAACAACCACTAAGTTGATAAAAACAAATTCATAACTCAAGAAATGCTACAATACGCATGACTCACTTATGGAACTCGTTGTATCGAGTAAAGCAATGTTTAGCTTGATTCGTCGTAGGGAATCGGAAATCCATCGGGGCTGTCTTTATGTCGTCCACCTAAGAACAATACCACATTGTTTCTGACTAAATTTAATAGGAACGCATGAAATTTCTAGTTCATGTTAATTTTGGTCGAAAAGAGAACTAGAAATGAAGGTGAGAATTCCTTAAAGTAAGCATTTCACATCTAGTTATGTAATGCTTGAAGAAAAGGCATCAAGAATAATGGCACTTACGGTGATCTTGGGCTTCTCTTCCTCCTCAGCAGCCTCTTCCGTTTCCTCCTGTAAACGCAAAACAAGGCGTCTCACCAACCCGACGTTGTTGAGAATCTCAACTAGTGTTCAAAAATATCTATCATGCAACTATGGAGGGTCCAACGCACGTATACTCGCTTAGACAATAATGGACTGACGAGGGTAATACAGGGCAGTCAACGACTCCATAAATCACTTTAAAATTCAAGAAAGACGAGATATTGTCAAGAAGTGCAAAAGAATTTTACAGTTGCAGCTTCTGCTTCCTCTTCGCCTTTTTCCTGCAAATATCAACAAACGCTAGTAATCAGAATCAATACATGTATTGAATTCTTCTCAACTTTCTGGCATTCAATGACTCCTGAACAGAGAAGATCTAGTGGATTTCAAAATCATAGAACAAAATCTGCAAGAAGTTCTTCGAGACTTGAACTCGAAATAACAATTTTGCAGACGACTTTCACCATGATCTGTCAAATATAATACATAATACTTGTAACAAAAATATGGCATTTTGAGGAATGGTCTTAAGAGCTACCCAAATCTACACTCCACAAACAACCTACCACGTCAAAGCAGCCAACAACCCTCATGCACGACGAACGGGGTTCACACATTCCCGACAATATCAAGAGTTTAAGCCCAGAAAACGTTCCAATCCCTCTCTGAATGTGGTCCACCACTGATCATTCACAGAAGCTAAACCTAAACCAAAACCAAACGACCTGCTAAGAAGACTACTCACAAGAAGATTTAAAAAAAGGCAAACAAAAAAATGAAAACCCAAAAAATGACATAACAAAACTTACATTCGAAGAAGTCTCCGTCTCCGTCTCTTCTTCCTTCTCAACCTGCTCCTCTTCGACCTGTTACCCCAATCAACGCCACGTAAAAATCCAACAAACAGCAAATAAAAATGAAACACAAACTCAACGAAAAGAACTAAAACCCGAGAATGAAGAAAATCCGGTCCAGTAACCCTAAATCCCGGAACCCGCACCGGGGACAACAAATACCCTGGAATGACAGATCAGGGAGTCCCACCTGGTGCTCCTTCACCTGGTCGGGCGTCTCCTCGTAGACCTGGACGGACTCCATCACGGCGACGTTGTTGCCCATGGTGAGCTCCTCGCAGTCTCGGGGTGTGTCTTCGCTGGGGCTGCGCACTGTGGGGTCCGAGAGAGCTTGAGAGACAAAGGCAATGACGGAAGGGCGAGGGGGGGGTTCAAAGCCAGCGAGCGAGCGGGCGAGGCTCTGTGATCCACGAGGCTCTGTGATCCACGAGGCTCCCGCGATCTCAAAGAGCCGCACAAGTGCTGGTGCTTCGGTACCGAGCCACCTTGCCTCGGCTATGGAAGGTGCTATTCCTGAACCCTAGCTCGGTCCACCGTGGCCTGTTGTGGAGAGCAGTTTCCTTGACTGTTATGGGGTCCACTAATGTGTCCTTTCCCACCGCGCTGCCTTCTTTTCCGTTAAAAACGTTGATAAAAGATTATGTATCTGCATGCATGTATGTATGTAAATATATATATATATATGAACACACTAGCTGAACCCATGCAGTTGTCACATTCTCCTTTGCATTTCTATTGTTCACTTTGCTCAACAACCACATACCTTTGCACAAATGACCAACAAAAAATTCTCAATTAGACGGGTATTGGATAAACTGTTGCATCAGGATTCATACAAGAAAATAATAATAATAATAATTTCAAAAAAAATAAAATAATAAATGACCAGTTGTCTTTTGTTGAGTGCTATGCCTACACCAGACATAAAATAAAAATCAAGACAATGGTATCATCCAATTCAAGTAGCACAATGCTTGTATTTTGATGCTTTTCTTTTGACAAATCCTTAAGCTCATAATTCTTAAGAACCAAAGCTATTATTCAATGCTATTAGGCTATATTGCCCCATGGTCTATGGAAAATAAACATCACAATCAACCAAAGTTTGGGACTAATCTTTCACGCTCATTACCAAATCGGTCTCATCTATCCTTTCAAATTTAGTATATAATTTGTACATCAGATATTCAGCTCATAAAAAAATTATATAAAGCAATTCAAAATTTGAACAAAGCAGTTCAAAATTTAAGTGGTTTTTCCTTACTACAACTTTTCTACTTAGCTTGAGTTAAGAATATATATATATATATATATATATATATATATATAAGACACACATAGTAGATTTAGGTTTAGCTTGGATTAAAATCACAAGAAGTATGAATGTTCTATATCTCCTTTTCAAGCTTAATGCTACACATGTAAGAGATGCATCAATCTAAATAAGATTATAAGTAGGGAATCACCATTGAAGAAACCTTTTGAAAGGTTTCCTCTTGAAAACAACATATTCAAATCCTATAGAGGACAATGCTTTTATTTTTTATCATATTTTTGCCTAAGTAGATATCTGAAGTATTATCATGCCAATTCTTTTTTTACATTATGTATTATAAGAGACTTGAAAAATTTGCTAAATACAGCCATGCTTCTTTAGTTGCGACCAAATTTGATTGTTGTGACTTGTAAATATGAACTCTCAATGGTGATTACTTCAAGGTGTTCTCAAATAAGTTCCAAACTTGCTCCCAACAATAAACAAAGACAACTACTATGCATGCACCTCAACACGTGTAATATTTAAGTGTTGAAATAAAATCATGGAGTTGTTTCCATTTTATAAACATCCAAAAATCAATAAAAGAACACATTAAGATAGAGATCAATTGTTATTTTACTTGCAATCACAACCACTCAAGCAGTGTCGTATGGTACGATTTGCTATCTGAAAATATATTAGGTATCTAACTATAGAGAGTGTAGCTTAAACCTTTATATGAATCTTGTCTTAGCTTCCAAAAACTCCTTTATTTGCATAAAACTCAAAATATAACAAAATCCCTTCAAAACATATTTTTCCCGCAAAGTATTTTCTTGTCTCGAACTTTAGAAATTCACAACTCTTGATTTAACTATTCAATTTGTCTCAAATTTATAAGATAGATAGAATTCACCTTTAAATTTTATCAAAAAAACAACCAACTACAAATTCACTTCCGATCTTCTGATATCTAAGAAATCCTAGCAAATGCTCTAAACCTTAATTTACAAGTACCTGAGCACTATTTTCCTAATATCTCAAGAATCCAATACTCAAATATTATAAAACTTATGTATAAAGTTTATTAACATAAAATTACACATTCTCTGAAATTTTGAGCCAAAACCTTGTCAAATTGCTCAAGATATAGCTCAAGACATAACCACTAGTAAATCGAGTCACTTACTACCCTTAGATTGCATGCACTGACTTCAAAATTCAATAACTCCTTCACTTCAACTTGGAATCTAGCAAGCAGTATGTAAAAAGTGTAGCCAGAAAAGTGCTCTTTTCAATCACGGTCGCCGATCCTCAATTGCTGTCAGTATGTTGTCGTGTTGTAATATGACTATATGGTGAAAATATAAATGAAAAAGATATTATTAATATTTAGTCATTTTGGATGTTAGAAACAATGTCCAATTCTAGTGCCAATATTGAGGGTCAATTAATATCATCCAACCAGTGTAATCAAACCAAGTACCTTCTATACCAATGGGACGACCAGGATCATTTTTCAATCCTACATGGAACAAGCCTAGTAGGTATATATCGGTGGAGACACCCAATATGCATGATGGAGGTATAGGAAGACCACTTCGTCATTTCCGTTGCAAATAGGTTGGTCATTATGCTAGTGAAAGCTAGTGATGATTACGCACTAGTGTAAAGGAATTGCAAGCAGTCAAGGCATACTTATCAACAATGTAATGCTCCATCCAATTTCAATAAACGGGATCAATAAGTCCAAAGCAAAAGAAAAATTGAAGAGATAAATCAAGGTCTTCAAGATTCTCCGGTAAATCAGGTGGAATGAGTCCGAACTGTTCTTACCAGGAGTCGACAAAAGGAGAAAGGACCAATTCAATATTTGGGTGAATTTGATGTGAAGGGCCAATTTGATGTAATTACAAGGACATCCAATCCAGGTCTTGATATGGGCCTCTTACCTAGTATGAGACCTGACTTGGTTGGGCAACCCAATGAGGTCTCGAATATAGAGGCTTCAGTTCCATTTCAAGCTATTCCATTCTTTATGCCGTTTTGGGAGAAATATCCTTTCCGTAGAAAGATCCTCTTAGTAACAGGAATTCCGACAAAGCATCATTGATTGTTCCAATTTGGAGTCCAAGGCAGGAGAAAAAGAGACCACACGGAGTTAAAAGGGAGGAGAGGATAAGAAAAGGGGCATTTGGAGATCGGTTTTTTGGGGTCGGAGAGCTAGCTTCAAGCTCCTTTGAAAGGTGTAGAATTGGGTTTCATAGGATTTGAGAGAACTTTGACAATCATTGCTAAAAGTTAGTGTTTGTATTGGTGAATTGGATTTTTTGCAATAAAGTAACGGTTGGTACTCTTAACTGTTTTATGAAATTGGAAAAACTTCTATAGTTGAAATTTAGAGGTATCTAGAAGGTTGAATATGCCGAGTGCATGCAAAATTTTGTTTTAATCTGACGGAACAGATAGAGGATATTTGACCATTAGTGTAAAGAGGTATCAAAAGTTAGTAGATTGGGGTTGTTTAGGGTTTTTATAATATCTAGAGATCTATTGGCTGGAATAAGGTGACTTTTGGCATAGTAAGTTGAAGACTTCTAGGCGATGGTGAAGATACATTAATGTAGATTAGCGGCATTTTCTTGCAACTTGTAAGTTAGATTGGATTGAAACTTCTTGAACATTTAAAAGGCTTGCAAAGACACTAGTGGTAGAAATTTATAACAATTGGATGGTCAGATTGAGAATTATAGCTTGCTGAAGCTTGCTGTCTAGAGTTAGGGTTAAAAATAAAATAAAATAAAATAATAATAATAATAATAATATTAATAATAATAAAATAAAATAAAATAAAAAAATAAAAAATAAAAAATAAATACTAACAAATAACAAAAAAATTTGTGCTTATAATATCTTGAAGTTATTAAAAATAGTGTTTCTAAGCACTTTATATTGGAATTAAGTTTTTACATTGAAATCCGAAATAGTTTGTATTTACATGGTTGAAATCCACTAGCCTACTTGGATACTTACAAAACATTATTTTATCTTCTACAGCTACACGTCCAGTGCATTCTCAAGCAAGGTAGCACATAATACTACAATGCATGCGTCATGCCAAAAAGAATGACAGTAGCTCCCAAATCAATACTTTAACTTCGAGCGCCTACATCTCCTTCATATAAACTCCAAACCATACAAAACTTGTACCAAAACCATAGCCAAAAACCTAAACTTGTTGATTCTAGCCTTCAAAGCTCGAATGGCCACGAGAAACTTATCCTAATCCCTAATATGACCTCAGGCAACCTCCTCAAAGCCCATTGGTCATGATTTTTGACCAATAAGATTGGAGATTTTCATCATTCATCTCTATTCATCTATGTTGGTGTCCTAATTACTCCCTTTACTACCAAAACCCTTCTTCAATCCTTTTTCTTATAAGATTTATATAATTTATACTCTAAACACCAAATAAAAGAACCAAAATAAGTTTTCAAAGGTCAATACAAATATTTAGAAGTTACTATCAACCAAAACCAATCTTAAAAGCCACTATCAAAAGGAAATTAAAGTTATACAAATTCTATAGTAATCTTTTTAAACAACCTCTTTTCAAGGTAATAATCAAATTATATTCTACAACCAACTAAAATCTACTAACATGGCTCTCACCATATTACTTAATAAATTATATATTAAGTACATAATTACATTATTTTCATATGGTAGCCGAACCACAACACAACATCTATCTCCTCTAAACTTGTGCATCCTCCAGTATGCACCAAGAAGAAACATAGTTGTGATCGACGCCATATCACCTGTCCAATATGGTCTTTTTTTGATCCATGTCTTCCACTTCTTCATTTGTAAAGAAATATATGTCTTTTCTAATACCTTCATGAATTCCTTGTTGCCTTATTCAATGTAGCATATCAATTTTGTCCTTGTATTTTGAGCTTATTTCTTCCAAAAATCTTTCAAACATGTCTCTATATATATACTTACTATTATAACATCTTTATCAAGCATATCTACTCTTTTTAAGTCTTTTTTAGATTTTTACATACCTCTTTGCTTCCATTTTTGTAAGTTATTAAGTTGTGTATGTACAACAAATCTATTCCTAGATAATTTTACAACACATGTATGAAAGATATTATTTTTTCCATGCAAGAATACTTACTTTGTTGTACTACTATATTT